TTTTTTTTTGTGTCTGTTAACACTTTTTCTCAGCTCTCACCAAACCGATTTCTTTCAATGATACATCAAAAGATCACAAATCATATCTAGTCGAAGACATTACCCTCAAAAATTGAAAAAAATCCCCTCGTTCCCCGTAAATGGGGGAAACCTCCAAAAAAATTACAAATTTAAAAATCGCTAATTATCGAAATTTTTTTTAATAAAAACTGCCGTAACTTTTTCAAAAATGAACATATCAATAAAAAATTTTTTTATATAGATGCATGATATCATTACCTTTCATTTAGTATATTTTTTTTGTAAATTTGACCCTTTACCTACCCACAGGGGGGGATTTAAAATGACAACTTTTTCACAAAAAATTAATTTTTTTAACTTAAATTTTGAAAGTGTTCCGCAAAGTCTGACACTTTTATATATATCTTAAATTAAAGCTAATGTAATATACTTTATCATGAAAAAAAAAAATTCCGGCTTTATCTTATCTTCACGGTGAAAATGGCTACCGAATGCTATTTTTGTGTGAAAATTTTTGATTTTGTATTTTCCATTTTCAACTTTATTATGCTATAACTTATTGAAAAGTGTATGGATCAATATAATTTTTTTATGAGAAATAATATTTATATCCCTTTTTTATTCGACATACTTTATCTTAATCAGGATATTAATAAGGAACTAGCAGATCATGTAGCTTTTGGAATAATCCACCAATTTTTTTATAATTAAACACTATCTAAAGATTTGCATCGAAGCGTTTTTTTTTTGATAGTGATTTTAATCACTGTCAGATATTATTATACTTAATCCAACTATGCCACGTCACCACTGTGCCGCGACCCCCCTGTGCTGGGTTTTTAATTTTTATTATATTAAATACTTTTTTAGGTGGGGGGTTGTAAGTTAATGACGTTATAATGGTGTCAATCCTTGTATCCCACCATCTTACATTCAATTTTCATATAGTTTCAAAAACTTTTACACTCTTTCTAAAAATTGCTGGTTAAAAATAATATCAGTAATAAAACATAATTGTTAAGCTAAAATACTATATATTCAAAGCTAAAAAAAAAAAGACTACTTTTATTTAATTTTTGTTCTAGGTTGTACCAGAAAATAAGTTAAGACCCCAAAGAGATTCTTTAACTCGTCTCTTGTTGCAAATTCCTCAACTACAAACAAATTTAATTGACTTTTTGTTTGATAAAATGGCTGAAATAAGTTTGGAAGATCCAAGGCATGTCTATTTATAATATTCTAATAAAAATTATTAATTGTGTATGGTACCATTTTAGTGAAAATGTATCAGTGACCACACAAATATGGGTACGTTTGCTTCTTAAACCATTTAAGCAGCTCTACTGCATCATAGATTTAAAAAAAGTTATTCTTAAATTATTTGATAACTTGAATGTAATGCCTGACATTGATTTAAAAAGAGAATTGATCTTATCCATTCCTGACATAGTCCTTGACAGAGAAGATCATGATGCTCATGATGAATTATGGTATAGAAATAGGTTTATTCATTTTTTATTAATTTTTTTAATCTGGATGTTCATTTTACAAGAATTTTTGAAGGTATTTATAATTATAATTATTGTCAAAGAAAACATTATTTATTAAATATTAAATAATCATTAAAATTAGATAAATAGACATCTCCAGACTAATTGACTATTTATACAAGTTTTAATATTCATCAAGTTTACTAATATTTATGTTATCTAGCAAACTACTAAGGAATGATAAAGATCTCATGGCCTGTATTTTAGAAACTATAGGTCAGTTGACCATTAGTAAAGAAGATCTTGCATTTATTCAAATGGATATGATACCTGAAATCCATCATACACCATCAGATATACTTCCAGCATTAGTGAGATTTTTAATTAAAGTTAATGATCGCTTAATTGCTGAAAAAGTAACGAAACAAAAGTTCATTTTTCATTTTTTTTACCTCTAATTTAAAAACTATTTAACTTTTTAGATTGTTAATGGCTTAAGATGTGAGCTTCCTTTTGGAACTTTAGATAAATTATCTCAAACTGCACTTTCTGATAATTTGACTAGCATACAACTTGTCATATTTAGTTGTATATATGATAGATTTTTATCATGCAAAATGCTACTTGATGTATGGGTCAAAATTATTAGTCAAATACAAACTCATGTTGAACATAAGTAAGCAAATTATTCTTAAAACGTATAATAGTTATTAGAATTTTTACATCAATTTCATAGATCGCTAGATGTTGTTATCTTATTTTTGGCATATTCATCAGCTTCCAATGATTCATCAACAAAAACTTTGATTTTATCAGTATTTAAAGAACGTATTAAAAATAGATTTTTCCATCAAGAGTTAATGGAGAAAACTTTTAAAATATTCACACCTGTAATTATTATGTGATTTTTTTTTTTTTTAGCTTATATTTATATATATTATTTTACTAAGGTCTTCAAGCAATATTTTGAATCATTTATTGATTTATTTTCTAATCTTTTGAAAGTAACCGATCATATTTCTATTGAAGTAGTTACAAGTATGGTTGTGTAAGTGTCAATTTTATTACAAGTTCCTTGTTGAGTTATTTATAATAAGTTTTTGTTGTTATTTTAAAGGAATTGTTTTATTAATATTGATCAATGCTGGTGTAAATGGATTGTAGATGAACTTCTTGTTTTAATGGGTACTGGAAATAAATTAACTGTAGAAATTGTTCTTAATATACTTATGGAATTCACTAAACAAAGAATTGACAAAATTCAACCTTTATCTACTCGTTTGATTGTACTAATTTTCAATTATTAATTTTTACTTTATAAAATTAGTAATATAAAGTTAAATTTCAGTCGGTCTTCATTAATAAAATATATGATTTTTCAACAAAAGAAATTTCACAAGTTATGGACATGCTATGTAAAGTTGCCTATTCAGAAGGTCCTGATGGTATTAATAATTGTTCTGTTTTTCAAGATGAAATAAATATTTTTGTTCAAAAAGAGTTGTGTTCTATTGATATAATGTAAGTAAAGTAAAATATGAAAAATAATATTTAAAAAACAATTTATAACAAAAATTTTTCCTTTAAGGGGGAATAAGCTAAAATGTTAGCTGAGGTAAAAGACTGAAGCTAATTGTTTTAAATTTGATATCTGAATAACTCTAGTATAAGTTGTATTAGTGGCATTCTTAAGATTTTTCTTGGGAGATATATAAAAGTAATTATTTTACTATCTCCTTCAAATTATAACTTAACCTTATATTTAATTTTATCACATATTGATAGAACCCTAACATCATAGTAGGGTTCTATCATTTTTTTCATACGGCAAGAACGCCTATGAATTGTATCATTTCTAATCATTATTTAACACAATAATCATTGAATTGTAATATTGTATTGAATAAACTTAAAAAAAATTCTTTTACTATTTTTGGGTATATTAATATAATTTCTTTTAAAAAATTTTAAATTAATTTTTAGTTCTCAACGAGTGGGAATAATTGGTGCTATTATGTTAATAAAACATATAGTCAATGTATCTTCTGATGAAGCCAGTCAATCTATTTCCACATCTGAAGAAATTATACCTCTTTCTCAAAAAGCTAGAGAAGCTTATTCACTTATAGGTTAGTTACTTTTTCTATATAATCTTAACTGATAATTTATCAAATTACTGTTTGTAATCTAATATATGCCTTTTTTATTTTATGGTTATGTTGAACTTAAATAATACTTTTTTTTTTTTTTGAAGTGAAACTTCTTTACAGAGGGACCAAAAATGTTGTAAAGTATATTTTATATTATAATTTATCACTGTATTTTCGAAAATTAAATTAATTTTATTTAAAAAGCATTAAATAATTTTGATTATGCACAAAAAAATTTTAATAAACCACAATAGATGCAATTTTCTCATGATATCTTCATAACAAAAGAAGTTTCACTTCATCTGTGCATACTCGTAGCACGCACTAGTTATTTTTGTATATGTACGAGGCATTAAAATGTCTCGTATGAATTCAAAGAAAAAATTTTTTTTATACATTATTGTAAAAAATTATTTTGTATAGTTCTTCCATATTTCAACATAAATGTTACCCTTTTACACTAAAATAACAAAGAAATAGCTTAGTAGAAAATTGTGGAATCTTTATTTTTATATTCAATTCTATAGGTCTGATAATAAACCTTATGGATACTTTCTCTATCACAATGTCTTGTCCTTCACCTCCAATTCTTGAAAATAAAGTTTATTTTTAGACAAAAAAATTTGCAAGGGAACTTTAACTACTTATCATTCTGAAAACTATGTGTATTTTAAATTTTTATTCTTTTAAATGTTTTCATAGTTTAATTTTATGCTTATAATATTATCTAAAATCTGTTAAATTAACTATACAATAAAATAGAATTTTGGTATATAAGTAAACTTTGAATTACCATATACAATATTGCCTACTCTCTAATCCTACCCTTTACAATTTGTTAATATTATATAAAAGCTGTTAATTATGATTAATTTAAATATATTTTCATAAATTTAATCTTCGTCTAATATGCAGAGTGTTAAATAATTAGGGATACAGATAATTTATTGGTGCAATAAGAACAACTTCATTTTTCCTTATTTATTGAACACTGATGAAAATATTTGTGAGGGATATTTAAAAGAACTATAAATGTTGCAATTGTAGAATTTAAATAAACTTTATTATTTTAATATAATGATTTTAATATTGTATAATTACAAAAATAATATTAAATAACATATTTTATTTTCTAGAATTATTAGTTACCAGAACTCAGGCAAATACAGATTCTCAAATTTTGTTTTTTGATCAGTTTGCTATTATGCTTTTTCAAAGTCCATATTTAGATAAAACATTTATGGTAATTTTTTTTTTATTATGACAATTAATAATAAAATGATGCATTTTATTTGTTTAGCATACTGTCTCTTCAGTTATGAAAAAAAATTTTCAATATAGTTTCTTAATAGCTGCAAATGAATTTAATAATGAGTAAGTCAATTTACTATAAATAATTATAATACTTCTACAATAAAAATATTAGAACATATTTAAGGAACTTCATTTGGGTGGCATTAATAGTGAGTTCAGGTTTAATCCAATGTATTTGTACCTTAGTATTTATCTACCAATAGGTAAATTTTTTTTTTGAAACTCCTGTCTTTACCTGCCCTCAAGAGGATACAAAATATTAAATTTGGATTAATTAAATTTTATGCTATCTTCTTTAAGTTTAAAAAAAATTTGTTTTAGCAGCTTACCTTCTATATAAAAAAAAACCTTATTTTTAACCTTCACATTGTTATAATTTTTTAAAAAATGTTTGGATCAATACATTTTTTTTATAAGAACTTTTTATAAAACTTTTTTATCTGATATACTTTTTTTTAATTGAACCCTATACCCTTATACATAGAGCATTTAAATCTTGAACATATGTTTAAAAAATAGAACTTTTTCAATTTAACTTTTGAAAATGTTTCAAAAATACTCCAAGTTTCAAAAATATGTAAATTAAAGCTTATGTTATATACTATAAGATAAAAAATATATATTATTCTAGTATAAAAAAAAAAAAGAATCACCGTTTTTCATGTTATAATACTCTATTTCAAATTTTTTTCTCAATTATTTATGCCTATAGTTTAGGTCAATTGGTATAGCCATAAACATAAGTAGTCCTATTTAATTCCCTTTTTTTACAAAAAAAAAAAAAAATGAAAAGATTTAAATGTTAGTTATAAATATTTTCTTGGGAAGAATTTTTGCAACTTTTAATGTCCAATAAGTATATTAGAAGAAAAAAGGGCCTAATCTTATAATAAAAAAAGTTCCAGCTACCATTAGCTTATGAATGTATTAAAACTTTTATGGATTGTCTTGTTGCTTGAAGTGCTTGAGGATATATCCATGTTCATCTTCAGAGTAAAAATCTTCACTCTGAAGATGGACTCTGCAATGAGTCCGAAACATCAGAACTCAACTGTAAACATGGATATATCCTCAAGCACTTCAAGTACCATTAGCTTAATTAAATTACAATTTAAATTTTAAAACTGAAATAGTAATTAACTAAAAAATGTCTAAGTAATTATATTAAGAATTTTGATACATGTTTACCATAAAGGTAACAAAATATACCTCTATAATATAATTATATTAATTTCTTGGTTAAAATTACAATATTACACGGTTGCTAGGGATTTAAGACTGGTCCTAGAAAATGTACTGGAAATCATATGTAAAAAATGGGATTATAACCCCCAACCCTAGTCTTTGTAGAGAGTAACCCTTTTACACTTATGATTCAGATCCCAATACACTTTCATATAGTTTATTACTTAATATGCAACTTAGGGAAACAAAGTACCATGTCAAATATTAATTTATATAGCATTTATTACATACTACATTTAACTACTATAATAAGTATTTATTCAGGTATTGTATTTATAACATTTTTAATCAGTATATAATTAAAGAAATATAAGCTAATATAATTTTAGTTATAATTTAACAATTCTAAAAATGAAACACTCAACAGATTTGTATCAAAGCATTTTTTATGATGGTGATTTTAAACGCTGTCAAATATTATCTTAATTTCTCCCAACTAGTCACGTTCTTACTGTGCTAGGTTTTTTTTTTTAATTAAAAAAAATATTGGACATAGTCAATCAATTATCTTGTTTATTATAAAGAACAAGTATTTAATTACCTTATATTGTTTAATAATTTAAAAATGTATAGTGAAAATTTTTAATTATTTTTAAAATATTTATGCAAGTTTTAATGTATTTTTCAAAATTAATTATATTTTTTAGAAATTTAATGATAGACTGTTCACTGACGTTTTGTCTTGACAAAGATCTTGATGAAATAATTGCAGTTAATATAAGTCCAATTGTCATGAATGAATTCAATAAAATAGATAGTGCAATTTTAGGATTACAAAGTTGTCGACCAAGTGCTCTAACATCAATGTTTCGTTTGGTTAGAGGATTAGAAAGAGAAGACTTAAGTGAAATTGATGCATTGCTAGGATGTCCTATTGTATTGCCTAGTTCTCAAACTATAGAAAATTTTGAAATGCTGTCACCAGAACAACAAATAATAGTTGTGAATTCTTTATTTCATACAGTAAATTGGTTTCATGAAGTTATCAATTGTTTCTCATACTTGTTCAAACAAAAGAATGGCAATAAAGTAATTTTCTTTTTTTATGTTTAAATAGATTTATCTTAAGTAATCTAAAAATATATGAAGCAATGACATAGGGAAGCAACTATCACAAAAACTAAATTTTACTGCAGGAAATAAAAATTGTTTAAAAAAACCGCATAGACTTTGACAAGTGCCATTTTTTTCTACATATTTATTCTATAAGGTGAAATGGGGTAATTGTAAATTTATTTTTCTTAAGATTATTTAGCTGATTTTATATTAGATTGAAAAATTCTGGTACTTATATATGTTACTATGATATTAAATGTAAGTCCGAAATAAAAAATTATGTATTTACCTCAAATATGCATTTAGAATTACTCCATTTCATCCTACAGACATTTAATTAAGTTTTTCAACAATAATATTAAAACATCTATTAAATACACATTTTCATCAAAAAAAATTAAAATTGATTTTTTCTAACTTGATATCTTTGTATTATTATATTTTTATATATATTGCATTCAAAAAAGGTTTATAAGTTGTACCCAAATGTAGTTGATGAATAAAAACAACTTTTAATAACTTTCTCCTCTAAATAAATTTTTATTCACACTTACTTTTTAATCAAAAATACTTGTTATAAATCCACTTCAAATCTCAAATATCATAGCAAAAATTTGAATGAAATACATACCTATAATAGCTAATTCTATTAGATATAGACAGAAAGCCTACTTAGATTAGTCAGGAATATGTTGTGTATGAGTTAGTATAGGAGTTTTTTATAATGAGATCAACCAAACCAAAAGGTATATTTAAATTAAATGTAATCATTGTCCAATATATAAATTATTTTAACATTTAGTAGAACTATAGAGATTGATTGTGTTATTTTTCTAAATTCTTAATTTTATGTAAAAGATAATTTGATTTAAAACAGTATAGATTTATCGAAAAATTTATATATTTGATATTAATGAAGCCATTGTTTTTTTATCTGTAATTTTATTTTTTATTTCTAAAATAAGTTATATATATTTTTATATAGGTATTAATACGTTTGAGAACTATAACATATTTGATAAAAATAATTAAAAAATGTTTATCAATAATGTATGATCCTGAATATATTCCTCCCTTGTGTTATTATGGATTAAATGTAGAAAAACCTAATTTCAACAAAAACAAAAAGTAAGAGTTGAAATTATATTTATATATGATATACAATAAACACACTTGTGATGTATTGATTTTTCTATAAAGAAAATCGAAAATTGGAAAAAATACAAAAAAAAGAGAAAAAAAAGTTAAAGAAAGTGCTAATATATCGGTTAATACAACATCTGGAACAAATTTTAACATAACTCGTGGAAATTATGAAGAAAACGAACAATTAGACACAGATAATTGTGTTGATATAAAAATTTACAAAGATTATTTTAGAGAACTCGATATTGACACATGGTTGATACTTACACAGAAATTTGTTATTAATCCTGACCCTGAAAAAGTAATTATAATAATAAATTTTATTAAAAATATTTTGAATTTAGTTATTTTTGTATTTTATTTAGGATAAAGAATTTTCACCTGAACTTGGGCCATCTGAATTTTGCTACTTAATGGAAGATGTTATTGAGAAATTGGATTATATTGTTTTTAAAAATAAAAGACTTAGTCCATTAATTAAAATTAAATCAAAAGAAACAGTAGGATTTAATTCTGTGTCATTGGTACCTGAAAAAACTATGCTGAGAAATTTTATAAAACTCCTTCCACATTTATTTACTGATTTAGAAATACTTTCAGAATTCTTTAAAGTGATAATTATAATTATTAGTTGTGTTATATATATGTATATATTTATTTATTACATAAAAATTTGCAGAATCTTTTATTAGTTAATGACAATATATTAGATTCTACTGGAATGTTTATGAATGAATCAGTTTATATGAAACAATGTGTTGGGTTGATTTTAAAATCAATTGTTATATTGTTCCAGTGGAAGGATTTTGAATCTTCTGATACTGAAGATCTCCTAATAAGTAATCATAAATATTTAAAATATTCTATAGTTGATTTAAAAAAAATTATTTTTTTAGATGCTTTGAAAAAAATGACCAATAAGAATGAATTTAGTCAGAGTACTCAATCTAGGCGACCATCATGCAAAAAAAGTCTACTTTCTGAAAAAATAATATATTTGAGAAATTTTCAAGAAATTATTCTACATTTAGAAGCTGCTGTCAGTCTAGTAACTCTTATACAATTATTAAAAACTTTTTCAAATGATGCAGAAAACGATATTATTTTAAGTAAAAAAAAAATTATCTATTACTAATACATGGCATATAAACATAATTTTTTTTTTTTAGGGGAGATATGTTGGAATTTTTTAACCAGACAATGGTATACTCTAAAAGGAGCTCATGAAGAGGGTCCCAAGTATAATGATCAGATAAAATTTTTGTTAGATACTTTTTTGCAGTGCCACGAAAACAAGTTGGATAAATTGGTAGAAATAGTAGATTGGTTGGAACAAGAAGTTATGGTAATAGAAGCAAAAACTGACCGACTAAAAACTTTACCAACAATTAATAAGTGATTTATTGATTTTTACATATTTTTTATTTTACTTAAAAATTATTTAACGATTATACCATTATTTTAGAATGAATTTAAAATGTTTAATCAGTGTTATTTTAAATTCATTATTGGGATCTGTGAAAAATTGTTTGAAATCTTCTGATAGTGAATATGACCGTTTAATTATTTGGCAATCAACTATTTATGTAATGGAAAAAGTAGTTCATATTGTCAAAAAACAAGATTCTCGTAGCAATCTTTTAGTATTTGTAAAGGTTAATATTAATATAAATGTTAATATTTATTAAATTATGTTGTATAATTAATAGCATTTGTTTTATAGGGATCTATATTGTTATTAAAACTATTTCTCGTAGAAGGAATGAGTATATGCCAACATTTATTTAAAATACGTATTAAAGAAGTATCAAAAGTTCTAAAAAATTTACAAGTTATTACTAGATACATGCAAAATATTTGTAACTATACTAAAGTAAGTATTGTGATTATTATTTTTTATTAATGTGCTTTATGAAATATATTCTTACTTATAGGTTGTCAAAGATAATGCACTGAGTAATCATTTGCCAAATATAAGGGGTATTTTAGAAACTTTGATTTTGAAAGTAAAAAATGTTATGGTATTGAATGGTTGTACAGATGCTTTATTTATGGGTATTATGAAAAATATGGACATTAAAGGAGAAGAAATATTATCTCAGGTAAAATTAATTTTAAATATTTTTTTTACATCAATCTTCTTCTTCCTCATTTTAATCCCAACTACTTGGGGTCGACCACCCTTATCCTAAACTTCCACTTAACTCCTACACCCAACTCCTACATTATCTACGCTCACATCAGCTGTCCTCATATCGCATTCAATAGCATCCCTCCATCTCTTTTTTTGGTCTTCCTCTACTTCCTTCAAGATTCATTTCTATAACTGTTCTTACAGCTTCCGATTTTTCTCTCCTCATAACATGACCAAACCATCTAAGTCTACTTTTTCTCATCTTATTCACAATTGACGCTACACCTATACTCCTTCTTATATGCTTGTGTTCCTTATTCTATCTTTTTTAGTCATTCCACTCATCTACATAAGCATTCTCATCTCTGCTCTACTTTCATACAACATAGCTGGTCTTATTACAGTCTTGTAGAATTTACCTTTAAGCCTCATTGGAATTCTTTTATCGCATAAGACGCTGGACGTTTCTCTCCACTTCAACTACCCGCACTTATTTCTGTGTCTTACATCCTCGTCAATACTACCACTCTTGCACAACTGATCCTAAATACTTTTTCTTCTTTTCCCTAAACTTTTCTATTAGTTGCCTCACACAAAATACTGGCTTTATTGTTGACTTACCAGGCATAAATTCAAGCTGGTTTTTAGATACTGATGTCTCATTTCTTATTCTCTTATCTATTACCTTTTCCCAAATTTTCATACTATGACTCATAAGCTTTATGCCTCTATAATTTCCACACTCCTGTATATCACCTTTACCTTTAAATATCGGCACCACAATACTATTCCTCCATTAATTTGGAATTTTCCCTTCTAATAAGATTTTATTTAAAAGTTTCTTCGACTAACTTATGCCAACACTGCCTAATATTTTCCATACTTCTGGCATTTCATTTGGTCCTACTGCTTTATTCTTTTTCATTGATGCCACAGCCTACCATACCTCTTTTTCACTAATTAAATCTACCAGTCCCTCATTCCAAGAGATATTCTCTAATATCTCTTTTGGATACCCCCCTCATTCAGTAATTTTTCAAAATACTCTTTTCACCTTTTTTTCACATCAACATCACTTGAGAGTACCTTATTATCAACACTTTTTATACACCTTATATAATGATAATCTTAGAGCTTTTCTCTCTTACCTTAGTAAGTTTATAGATTTCTTTCTCGCCTTCCTTTGTTCCTAGCCTATCATACCTCTTAAACTTCGCTTTACTTACTGCACACTTGGGTTTTTTGTACAAGCATTTATACTCCATCCAATCTTCTCTCCTTTTGCTTTTCTGCCATACTTTGAATTGCTTTTTCTTACTTTCTATGATTTTTTGAACGTCCTCATCCCATCACCAGGTTCCCTTGTTTCCTAGCATTCTACTCCTACTCTCACCAACAATCTCCTTTGCAGTATTCTTTACACAACTAGCCAATCTATTCCACACCGTCCTCTCTTTTACCATCTTTATAAACTCTTTCATTTCCACCACCGGATCTTCGATTTTTCCTCCATGTTTCTTCTATTTTTGTTTATTCTCTTTCCAGTACACCACAACTCCATTACCATCAGTCTATGTTGTGTAGTTACACTCTCGCCTGGTATAACTTTACAATCTTTTACTCGCTTTACACTATCTCTCTTTCACATAAAATAATTGATCTGTGATCTATTCCTCCCACTCTTATAAGTTATATAATGTTCTTCCCTCTTTCTAAAATAAGTATTAACCACAGCAAGATCATACAATATTTTTTTACATCAATATATATCTTAAAGAGTAATGATAATAGTATTTTTTAAATAATATGAATAGAATGATAGTAGTGAAGATGATGATGATGATGATGATGATGATGAACAAAACAAAAGTGATAAAAATGAAGCAAACGATTTAGCTAATTTATTAAATGATAATAGTTCAATTCAGGAACATGATTCTGATGAAGATTCCTCAATATTATAATTATATATATATATATATATATATATATATAAAACAAAAATTTAATAATGATATAAATAAATGTAAATGTACAATAAAAGATAATTCTATTACTAGAAGTTACTTTTTCAATAATATGATATAATATTGTTTATTAATATATTTTTAATTTATCCAAATGAAAGGTCATTTTCTGTAATTTTGAATTTTGTTATATTACTTTTTATATAATTTAAGATATATGTAATAAAGAAAAAAATATATAATAATGTTTTGTTCCGGAAAGTTTAGTTTATTAAACTGATATTTAAATTTATTATTGTTCGCGCCAAGTGTGAGAGCTGCACTGGTTGGGAGTGGTCAGCTGGTAGTGCTTGTGCGCTATCAGCTGTTAGGACGCCTTATCAGCGGCTCGTGTTGTTCGGTCGTTTTTTATTCAAAATGTAGTGTATGTACCTGTTGTAATATTATACAGTGTAAGGTTAAATTGGCTTGTTAGTTAAGTGTTATTTTTTTTTTGTATTATTGAAAGAGAAAAACGTTCAAGTTTTATGTCAAAATACATTATCCATATTATCTTCTAAAGATATACAGTTGTTTTCATTTTCATTTTTTTTTTTTTTTACATTGGCTAGTACATTATTACAATAAAACTGCGGGTATTGTACTACTACTATAAATTCATTTTATTCATATGGAGCATAACTAAATGTAAGTAGTATGGATTATCATATTTATTAATTATTTAATTCAGCAATAATAAAAAATTGGTTGTTGTTATTTGATTTATTGAGTTAAACAATCCCATTTTGGATAAACAAAAAATATTTTTCATTTAACAAATTTTAAATTAAGAAATTTTTGTTGATTAAAAGTTGCCCCTATTTTAAGCCGTACGGCGAAGTTCTGTTCCCCATATTTATTTGGGATTTTTTAGAACAGCCTAGGCGGCAACAATTATATATTAAGTTTTTTTTTCAATTTGATTCCTAGTTATCAAAAATTGTCTATGTACTTCATATTCAAAAATATTTATTAGAAAGTAACAAAGTATTCTTAGGGGCTAGATAGTTATAACCTTCTAATCTCAGAGCCAGATTTTGAACTATATAGCACAGACTATATATTTTAATATAGTCTGTGTATATAGGCCCTATCTGAAAAATGTTTTTTGAAAAATTGATAAACAGAATAATCATATTTGTTTAAAATATATCTTGGCAAACTAGTAAAAATTAAAATAGATTCGCCCTTCCTTTTTATTATCTAATTCTGACATTTTTTATTTTATTATTAATTTACTAGGCTTCGCTTAGATTGGGCTCTGCCCCAAATCCTGGGCCCTAAGAGCCTTACGCGTCTTCGGCGTTTATTGTCATAATAATATACAACCCTGGTAAACACAAAAATTATTAATATTCTAACTACAATAATTGTGTTTATAATATAGAATAATTACAAAAAAAATCAGCAGGTTATTATACGTGGGACTATGTAAAATATTTAATTTTGATAAAAATATTGGTGATTTGACGTTGGACAGCATAGTTGTCATAGATGGATACCAATTTATACGATAAACTCATTGACTTATACATCATATATGAAAAAAATAAGATTATTAATAATGTACTGTTCTAATAATGAATGTACAACTTATATAATTAATCCGTCTTAAAATTTATATATAACATATAATATTCCTTGATAATATATATAATATAATGCTATGAGCAAATGAAAAATAGTGTCCTAAAAAAATACATATTACACAAATTAAGGTTCAGAATAAACGTATGCGCAGAAATGAGTTCATGCCCATAGTAAAACCATACGCGTGGACATAAAAAAAAATAATAATAAAGCTCGTAAATCGTTGAAAAATGAATGTATTGAATTGTTTTTTTTATCATATCTCAGGAATGTCATTGGGCGGGTTTGGTGAAAATTTCAAACCTTAAGTCGTAAAACGGTCGAATTTTTAAAGTGCTCGAGGGCAAAAATTGTCTGACCTTTGCCAATAATTTGCCCAAAGTTTGGTGACCGAGTACTTTCGTTGAAAAAAAAATTTTGAAAATCCGAGTACCTAAATAATTCACCTAAAATATTTATCCAGCAATATTGAAACATCCCCCTGAAAAAAAACAAACTCTTCTGTATTCACGTCTGAAGAGGACATTTGTGGTTTTTTTTTGTATGCGGTGAAGGAAATGAAAATTTGAAAATCAGTAATTTCCTAATTTTTGAATTTCGTATTATTTTATAGCAGTCAAGAAAATAACATTTAATGCGTAGTGACTGGAAGTTTTTTTATCGTGCATTATTATTATTAGATTAGTTAAACTAATAGTACATATTGATCTAACATAGAATTAACCCTGAAATGTTTCACGTCACGTAAGAAGTAACATCACCCATTTCATTTTTATTATTTTTAAGAGAGAAAAAAATTAGTTTTCTGTGAAATTGATAGTAGTACCTATCATGAGTTTTTTTATTATTTGATTAGCACGCTATGTATTGATTTTATCAAAAATCTAAATCCATCGTTCGACTCATCTTGATCAAAATGTGAGATAGATAGTGTTGCTTTTGAGGCGACAGTAATATATTTATACATTTTATTAAAAGTTAGTGTTCGATTTTGTGTTTTCTTATTATCCTATCTTAGTTTGTATCAATGAATTCAAGGAAATCTTAGTAAGTAATTTATGTAATATAATCATAAACTAATCGACAAGTTAATATTATATGTTCATTATAATTAAAGCATTAGACTGGGAATATCAGCTCTTGTTAAACATTTGTAAATACTTTTTGTTAATTTTTCTATTCATTATACTTAAATTTAAATAAATTTATTCAAGCTATTTAGGGAAAGAGGCATTGGTTAAATAAGATTTTAAGTATTTTGGCTAGTCGCTTCCCTGTCTGCCAAATGATTGACATCACTGCTCTACAATTATTACTCTTAAAATAAACTTTACTTTGGTATTATTATACAATTACATAGACCTCTTATTATTTAACTTTATTTTTTTTATTGCTATACATCGTATGATGTCATACTTTCAAAATTTTTAGATAATTAAACAATCAACTTCATGTCAGAGCCGTCGCTAGGAGTGTGTGACGTATGCTTCCGCACGATTGCCCGCGTTTTAAAAAACCCTGCAAACTAAGATGACAAAAAAAATAAAATTTGGAACATTATAGAATAGTAGTAGTACACTTAGAGTTAAAAAATAACACAGCAAAATTATTTCATTTATCATATCAAACCTAGTTCGACAATAATTACTTTAAAAATATTAGAAATTAATGATTTTAAATGTGTGCATGGAGAATATGTGCTAAGTAACTTTTTAATTGGTAAAATTGACATTTTTTTGTAGTGAAGAGTAATACCTAAATTGAAAACATTTGACTTATCGTTGAAAAAAATGGTTAAGTGAGAACAGAGAAAAATGAATGCTAGACACAAAAAAAAACCACTTGGTAAAATAATTTTAATATGAATAAAAAATTTCTTTTCACAAGGGGAGACTACAGTGATGGGGTCCTTGATATTCATTGAAGTTATTCAATCTAAACGAGACAAAAATCATACTATTTTTTGAAAAGTAGTGTACTCTTATTGTAAAGTATTTTAAAATAAAAATAACGTTTAGTGGTGCAATTTTTTAAAAATTATTAACAGTGTAAAATTGAAATTAGAAATAAAATGTACAGAAAGAGAAATGTGTACCCAACCTTTTTTTTGTGACTTTGGAAAACGTACAATATTCAAACAAATATTGATCCCTTTTCACCCCTCTCTTAATACACCAATGCAATTTGCACTAATCTCTTAAGAATACTTTTAAATAAGTTTTTGTACAATAATTTAATATATTTTTTTTAATTTTGCAGTTTTTCACAAGAGTTATTCTTTTTCTTTAACTTTGATGTCAGTTTTCACCATAAAGATATGACAGAGTTCAAATTTTTTTTTTCAAATTACAGTATATTACATAAGCTCTAATTTAAGATGTCTATAAAAATGTCAGTATTTCCAAAACATTTTCAAAAATTCATTTGTTGGAAAATTTACCATTTTGAATCGTCCTTATGAGCAGGTAAAGGGTCAGATTTTCAAAAAAATATACCAAATGATAGGTGAATACCTAAGGTATCTATAAAAAAATTGTTTTTATTCATCCAATTTTTAAAAAGATAAGGCATTTTTAATTTAAACAATTTTTAAAAATATGAAAAATTACCTATTTTTAAAATTGTTATTTTTTGGGGGATGTCCCCCATTTACGAAGAACGAGAGAAGTTTGTTCAATTTTTCAGGGAAATGTATTCGATTACAACAATTTGTGATCTTTTGACGTTTTGTTCATCAAAATCGGTCCAGTGAGAGCTAAAAATAAGTGGTAACTGACACAAAAAAAAGCATCGAAGCTAAAAAAATTCTTTATATACTAAAAAAATATATTAAAATCTCCGCAAAATGTATATGAAACCCTTGTGAAGAGATGCCTAGAGAAAAATATCCTACGATGTGAAAAAATCAGTGTTGTAACGTTTTAAATATTGTACGTTTAAAGTAATATGGGAAATATCAAATAGTATCTATTGAATTATTCGAATAGTAAAAACATTCAATAGTTACTCAATATATTCGAATAGTTTTATAAATATTTGATAGTTTATGCTAAAAATAAACTATTTGGTTGTTTAAAAACAATTTAAATAGTTATTCGATAGTTTAAAATATTCGAAAATGTCCATCACTAGTTTAAAGTACCGAAGATTTCAAAATTTAAATTTTTATGCATTTGATGGCTTGGTTTAGTGACTTAACAAATTCCAGGGGAGCAATATCTCCTTCTACTTCACTCTGGTGACTAATTTGTATCATTAATATTAATTATAAATTAAATACTGACGAACCTCTTTGGGTAATTTTTATAAAATCACAAATATATCATCCGTATAAAATCATTAAACTACTTGGGGAATATAAAATACACCTATGTAAACGGATAGACAACAATCTGTGTGCGAAACGAAGCATTCAAATCAAACCAAATCTTCCATTAATAGTATTTATATTAATTACAAATTAAATATTATATATTATATTTTTCAACAATTGTTTTATTATTTTATCAAAGCTGTGTATTTACTTAAACTTTAATATTAGAAAATATTTAAATAAATAATTTTATTTATTATAAATAAAATATTTTTTTGAAGTCAAAGAACAGGTGTAAAAGAAAATAGATAAACACCTTTTTATTTGACACCCTTAAGTATAATTGAAATGTCTAATAATCATAATTTAGACAAATAATAAAGACGCACATAAGATTTTTTTTAGAAGCTCAATATTATTGTTATATTTAATAAAGAAATGTTTTTGTAGCCATGAACTTTGTGCAAATCGTTTAAAATCAACAAGAAAAGAATATCTAAGTTTAATATTCACAGTGATCAATAACCTTGTAATGAATCAAAATTCAGCAATAGATGGAGTGCTATTTCAAAGAATTTTTGAAGATGAATTTCTTCATAAACGAATTTTTCAACTTGATTACATGACGCCCACTAAACGAAGAAAATTGGATAAAATTTTTGAAACTAACAGATTTCTCTAGAGAAATCACTATAAAAATTTTACTTTATAAAAAGCGGTGTAATATGGGAAGATCGATCAGAGACTTAAATTTTTAGTCTAAAATTTTATGCTGAAGTCTTCATCATGAAAACACGATTTTTTTACTTTCGGAACCATAAAATAATCGCCCTAATGAATCCCAAGAAAAATTATCGTCGAGATCCAGAGTCCCAAGTCGACACTGCTATCACCATTCCCCCCAAACATAAAACCCAAATTACACCACTATTTATAATAGTTAATTTTATCACGGCACGTTTTTAAAATTTATATTTAAAAATAAGTTGTTTTTGTCTAAATGTTATTTATAATTTGAAAATATAATTTAAAACAATGTTAAAATATATTGAAGTATTTTCAGTGTCTAATTTATAGTCATATTAAATATGTATAATACATGACACTTGAGCGCATTGAAATTTCACTTCCTTCAGGGTCTTCCTTAAGATTTGCGAGACCTAAGGCAATAATAATTGTAGTACAATTTATATAATATATTTCACAAGCGCTTAACCTTAATTTAACAAAAAAAAAAGACGTTTTTGACTTGAAATATTCTAGATATTTATTTGAAAATCGAGTCCTGATATTATTTTTAAGTTGGGTAGGATCGGATTTCAATTTTAGGCGCCAAAAATAATTTTTTGTCGACCTTTGCCAACCAGTATAAAAACAGACCCATATCAAAATGCAGCTTTTACACTCTAGGCACTGGTGAAAATGCCTCAATGTCATTCCATTGTAAAATGTTAACATGCTATTTTAAGCCCCATATAATAAAAATACAAAACAATAATTATATTATGAAGTTCAAATTATTTTTTTTCATAAATATTCTATGTATAGTATATAAAACTAAACATTTTTAATGGTATCAGAATGTTGCCCCATACCTCACGTTTTTGAGGCACGAGGCAAGTTCTTTGAAAAATCCTTCGCTAAATCCAACCTTGGTCGGTACCGCATCTTTCAGACTTTTAACAAATAATATCTATGTAAATTGTTATAAATAAATTAAAAAGTTAAAATTAAAAAATGACGTCATATTTCCCATTTATTAAATTTTCAAAATAAAGAATATGTAATAAAAAAAACGGTAGCACAGTGGGGTCGCGGCATAGTGGAGTCATTGCATAGTAGGGTCCAGTATAGATTTAATCTGACAGTGATTAAAATCACTATCATAAGAAACGCTTCGATGCAAATCTGTAGATAGTGTTTAATTTTAAAAAATTGATGGATAATTGCAAAAGCAACATCAACTTCTATTAAAATAAAATACAAAACCCATAATTATCATACAAAAATAGTATATTTTTCAATATGGTAGCCATTTGCGTATAGAAGATAGATCGTCGGGACAAATTTTTTTTTTTCATTTTGTAGTACATAAAATAAGCTTTAATTTGATATATGTTTAAAGGACGCAGTCTTTCCGGAACATTTTCAAAAATTAAGTTGAAAAAATTAATTTTTGTAAAAAAGTTGTCATTTTAAATCCCCCCCAATGAGCAGGTTAAGTGATAGATTTTCAAAAAAATGATATCAAATGAAAGGTAAATATCTAAGGTTTTAGTATAAAAAAAAATTATGTTGATTTTTCAAAAAGTAATGGAAGTTTTAAGAAAAAAAAGTGAACAAATTTCGAAAATTAGGGATTTTTAAATTTGTAAGNATAGATTTTCAAAAAAATGATATCAAATGAAAGGTAAATATCTAAGGTTTTAGTATAAAAAAAAATTATGTTGATTTTTCAAATAGTAATGGAAGTTTTAAGAAAAAAAAGTGAACAAATTTCAAAAATTAGGGATTTTTAAATTTGTAATTTTTTTGGTTATTTCCCTCATTTGCGGGGAACAAGGGAATTGTTTTCAATTTTTAAGGGTAATGTGTTCAACTAGATACGATTTGTGATCTTTTGACGTATTTTTGAAAGAAATCGGTCCAGTGAGAGCTGAGAAAAAGTGGCAACAGACACAAAAAAAAAAAAAACACATCATAGTAATAATACCTTCTCCGCTTCGCATCGAAGCTAAAATATTCATGTTCTCCTTGTACATTGTTATGAATAATAAAAATAAAATATGGAAAAAATTCTTGGTTTAAACTAGATATAATGTTTTTAGTATTAAATATATTCATAAGTCGTGTACCAAATATAGGTGCAATTAAGGATGGGCTAGGAAGATATTAGCACTCTTACACTCAAAATTATTATCTCCCAAAAAAACTAACATAAGAGGTTGGGTTGTTAGTTAAAACATACAATACCCATAGGTGAAACTAGGGGGTGTTAGAGGATTGATCTTCTCAAAAATTTCATTAGCGCTCAATTTTTTTTCATATCAAAATTAATTTTATACAACTAAGTATTTAAATAATGAATTATTTAAAATATTTAAGAACATTTTCTTGATTTTCACCTATGACATTACTATTAAGAATTTCTATATTTATTGTATAATCTATCCATCTATTGATTGTGTTAATGCTAATGCCATTATGGAATACTACACTCTATTTTAATTATCTCAATATTTTATTTTTTGGAAACAACACATATTAACTTGTCGCCCTATAATTGTCTTTTTCACTTTAATTGTTTCCTTTAATTCTTATAAAATTATCCAATAAATATAGAAAGTCACTATGAAGCTGAAATTATCTAACCTACTTAAATTTTCGGCCAACATGTTATTTACAATAAGTTATTTATGTCAATACTCATGCGCAATTCTCTTTCTACTATTGATTTTTAAATTTCAGTGATAACTTTGGTGATAACGATATTGATCATTTATCTATACTATACTCTAAAATTATTTCGAATTTGTTAATATTCATCTCACATTAACATGTTAATAGTATCGTTTCTTTAAATTGAATTTAGTAACACGTAATTTTAGTAAACATAATTTCTTTCATAAAATATTAGAAATAATTATTATTTGTAGACATAAACTTTTAAAACTGAAATAAAAGAAAACATAAAATATAATGGGGGTAAGTTAAAATTAATGTAGAAAATTTTAAAGAGTAAAAGAATTTAACATTTTAATATAAAATAATTTTTTCAGATTTTTAAAGCAGTTAAATGCTTAGCTGATGATTGGGCAATTACTAATTGTGCTATAGTAAATGATGAGGATTTTCGAAATGATACTAAGTAAGTAATTTTCTGTAAATATTAATTTAATGTTAGGTTACATTACTCAAAGTAAATAACAAATTATCTATACAGGTACATTGAAATTCAACACCAAACTAAACCTGATATCAAATTTTGGTTTACAATAGCTTTTGTTAAAAATCCTCCTCCTCGAGGGTGCATAGCATTTTCTTTAAATCAACGAGAGTGGGCGCAACTATCTATTAATCAAGCAATTAATGTTCTGTCTAGTCACCCAGCTAATGTTCAATTAGATTTAATATGTACTATTGTAGTCGAAATTGACTATATACAAAAAAAGTAAGTTAGAAGTTTATTTGATCTTTAAAATTTTTACAAGTGTGTTAATTATTAGGGGAAAAAACAATGAGCAATTTGATACAGATATGATGGCAAAAGAGTTTCTTGTACTTTTTTCAAATCATATTTTGTCATTATCACAAACTTTACTTTTTCCACTTCCAGAAAAACCATTAATGTCGCTAGTTGTTAAGAGTCTTGAAGGTAAGTTGAAGTTTTACTAAAATATTTTAATATTTTGTAAATTATTAGTATAATAGCTTAAATTTAATTAACCATTTATTGCATCTAAAAGATAATATCTCTGAGTGGTATTTTTGATTAACTATAAAATACTATCATTATACATGAAAGTATCTCCGCTTAATAATTTTAGAGATATTTGTTTTAAATTAAAATTTATAAGAAAGTGAAGTTACTGTTTTCTGTATGACAACAGAATACTTCTCTTTATAAAAATGGATAAACATAAAACGGAATTTGATTAATGCTTTTTAAAAAAATTAATCAACTGATAATTTTTTATTGAAGTGGTGCTTATTTTATTTTTATTATATATTTTTTAAATAAATTTGTATTTTAGATACTTCTATAAATATATAATTTTTTTCAATTTCAATTTTTAGGGGTAAATTATAAAGAAATAAATTCTGGCGCTAAACCTCGTTTGTTACAATATGGAAAATTTTTAAGTAATACTGTAGTACAATTTGTTGTTAATTCAAATGTTCCAATCATGCTTGTTGGAAAAGCAAAAAGGTAACTTAAAACTTTAAAAAATTACTCTCTTGTTTAATTAGTTACCTAAATTTTTTAGCCAGTTAGCACGTGTATCTATAATTAATCCTGATTTTGATTTTAATGAAATGGGAATTGGTGGTCTAGATAGTGAATTTAATGCAATATTTAGAAGAGCATTTGCTTCCCGAGTATTTCCTGCAGAGATTATTCAGAAATTAGGTATGTTGTTTACTTATAACATAATTGAAATACTGATGATAAATTTTGTTTTAAATGAAGAATATCTAAGTTCTCTTTCTTTTTAGGATGCAAACACGTCAAAGGTATTTTGCTATATGGACCTCCTGGAACTGGTAAAACATTGATGGCAAGGCAAATTGGTAAAATGCTCAATGCCCATGAGCCTAAAATTGTTAATGGCCCTCAGATTTTGGATAAATATGTTGGTGAATCTGAAGCAAATATTAGAAGACTTTTTGCTGATGCTGAAGAGGAAGAAAAAAGGGTATTATTGTTTTTTTAATTTCTGTAATTTTTTTAAATTTTTATGTTTTAATTTTAGTGTGGATCAGGAAGTTCTCTACATATTATTATTTTTGATGAAATTGATGCCATTTGTAAAGCAAGAGGATCTGTTGGTGGAAATACTGGGGTTCATGACACTGTTGTAAATCAATTATTAGCTAAAATTGATGGTGTTGAACAACTCAATAATATATTGGTCATAGGAATGACAAATAGAAGAGATATGATTGATGAAGCATTGTTAAGACCTGGTCGTTTAGAAGTAAGTAATCTAGTTGAAAAAAAATGTTTATTAAAAAAATTATTTTATTATTTTATTATTAGGTACAAATGGAAATCAGTTTACCTGATGAGCATGGACGTTATCAAATTTTGAACATTCACACATCACGTATGAAAGAATTTAAGAAAATGGCTACAGATGTTGATATGAAAGTAAGAATATTAATTATTATAAAATATATTTAGTATTCCAAGATAATGTTTTTATTTAATAAAAACTTAAGACATATACATGAATGTATGTTTTTATTTAAATATTTTATATTTTTTTTATTAGGTTTTGATTATTCATCATTAGTAAATTTATTAAATTCTATATAATAAATTAATTTTTATGTAATAAAAATTGATCACGTGTGACTAATGTTATTTAAATATATTTATTGATTATGTGCTTAGAAGTATTCATTTGTAAATAATTTAATTTATTTTAACAGGAACTCTCAGTTTTGACAAAGAATTTCAGTGGTGCTGAACTTGAAGGATTAGTTCGTGCTGCTCAATCAACTGCAATGAACCGTTTAATAAAAGCTGGAAATAAAGTGGAAGTTGATCCTGAAGCATCTGAAAAACTTCAAGTTTGTCGAGATGATTTTTTGCATGCCTTAGAACATGATATAAAACCTGCATTTGGTGCCAGTGCTGAAGCTTTAGAACATTTCCTAGCAAGAGGAATAATAAACTGGGGATCTACTGTAACAAATATATTAGAAGATGGGGAATTACTTACTCAACAAGCACGTGCTCTCGACACTTTTGGTCTTGTATCTGTTCTTATTGAAGGACCTCCAAATTCCGGAAAAACTGCATTAGCTGCTAAACTTGCTAAAAATTCAGACTTTCCATTTGTTAAAGTATGTTCACCAGAAGACATGGTTGGATTTACTGAAAATGCTAAATGCATGCAAATAAGAAAGGTTTGAATCTCATTAAATTTGTATTGTTTTTATATTCAAAGCTTATTAATATTTTTTTTTTAGATCTTTGATGATGCTTACAGATCTCAACTTAGTTGTATTTTGGTTGATAATATTGAACGTTTGTTGGATTATGGCCCAATAGGTCCTAGGTATTCTAATTTAACTTTACAAGCATTGCTTGTTTTGCTAAAAAAACAACCACCCAAAGGTAAAAAGTTACTAGTGCTATGTACTAGTAGTCGTAAAGAAGTACTACAAGAAATGGAGATGCTTTCTGCTTTTACTGCTATTCTTCATGTTCCAAATCTCAGTAAACCAGAAGAACTTATAACTGTTTTGAAACAATTTGATTTATTTAATGAACAAGATATCCATAAAATATATAACCAAGTAACTGGTCATAGGTAAAAAAATTTTAATTTATTAACAAATATTTCAGTAATATAATTGTATTTTAATTTTTTAGAGTATTTATTGGTATTAAAAAATTATTGGCTCTCATTGATATGGTACGACAAACAGAACCTAGACAACGGGTAGTCAAATTTTTGACCAAAATGGAAGAAGAAGGATGTTTAGATTTAGGCACAATGATCCATTAATTTTATTAATATTTTAATAATATTAAATAAGGAAAACATTCCAAATGAATAGAGTCATAAATGCAATTGTTGTTTTTTGAAAAATTACTTATTATTAACTTTTTCAACATATTTTTGCTTTTTTTAAAACAAAGTAGATGTATATAACAGTATTACTGAACTCTTGAAAATATGGTCATTGTTTTTTTACATTATTATTTTTGTTATATTTTATAACTTGAGTAATTTTTTGATTGTTTAAAAAGTTTTTTTAATGTACTATTAATATTTGTTAATTTTTTTTATTAGTTGTATCGTTTTTGTTACCATATCATACATTTCAAATCATTATATTATAATAGTGATTTTAAGGCTTATCATGATCTTTAAAAAATCTGGTTTGATTTCGATTTGTGAAAAACACATTTATTTATTTGGTATAATTCAAATTAAAATAAAAATGCAAAACTCATTGTATACTAGCTGAAAAGTTACTTATAAGCTTCCTTTTAATTGATTGTGTAATTTTTTTTATTATTTTAATATTTTTTTCCTTTATTCAGTCAGTTAAATTATTGAACTGGTATTCCGTATAAAACTCAATTTTTATGGTACTTTTTTTTTATGTAACATTTTGAAATAAATTTTAAATACTATTGTACTAATCATTATTTAAATTTACTAAATATCTAAGAATTCATTAAAGATTGTCCAAGTAAATTTATTTAATATATATCGATATGTTCAACAAATAAGGCAGTAACTCACTTTTTATTACTTTTCAGAAGATCAAAAATAAAATTTATTCTCTAATTACACTATATTTTTATCAATTTTCTAAGTAGTTTAATTCCGATTCAAACCAAAATTACGATATTTTGATGAAAATTATTATAAGAAGAGTAAAACTTAAATCTAAATACCTCATAATCTCAAAGTTGAATTTTTTGAGTTACTTCCTTATTTGTTGCGTATGGCGATATATATATAATTATATGTAGTAATGTACTTAGGATTTTTCAATTGGTACCAAAATATTTTTTGATGACCTTTTTAATTTGGCGATTTTTTGTCTAAAGAATGGAATTAAATACTTGGTACTTTTAGCTCGCCTTTTGTCATATAGATTATTTGTTGTAGTAAAAATATTATGACTAGGATTTTTTTAGCACCTAAATTAATTCATTACATTTTAAATGTGTGTTATTTTAGAGATATTACAGAATATTACTAATATCATTAAAATTATATTGTTTTGACTGGAATATATGTATTTCGATGTTTTGTTTGTTAGTATTATTATATTAAAAATTTATTGTAAAAGTATTTAAATTAGATGAAAAATATTACTTAATACGAGATTATTTTAATGACTTATGGGATTACTTCATTAAGTCTTATTTCGTATAATATGGAATGTGATTTATTAAAAATACCCTAATTCTTGTATTAAACAGTGATTTTTTCATAAAAATGTTCATAGTTTTTTTAAAGCATAAGTAACAAGTTTATAATATGAATAACTATTTCTAGGAATAACTTTCGAAAGTTATGCAGGAACCTATAATTATTTTTTTACTATTACATAAAAAATAGACTAAGTAATATTTTAACTGGCCAGTAAACAATTTTGAAGTATTAATTATTAAGTTTTTATAATTTTTAAGGCGAGAGGGTTGTGCAACATAGTATTATCACAGATAAGATAAAGCTTTATCTTATCTTTGGTACTAGCAATATTGTATTATAGTAAAAATAAAACGTTGCGAAATCCCCCTAGCTACCTAAAACTTTAAATGCTTATATCTCAAAAAATAATATTACAAAACAGGTAAATGACCAGTCAAAGTTATATTCAGTCCATACTTCATTTTGTTTTGTAAAAATGATTAAAGATTCCCATTTTGAAAGTTACCCCAAAACTTACCCTTAGGAATAATCTTTTCATGTGATTTTTGAAACTTAATATTTACCATTGCTTATAAAATAAATTAAATTTGTACATTATTATGAAAAAATTATTAATTAACGAAAAAGTAATAGATATTATTCTTAATGAATCACATTGTATACTAAATAATTGTAGCTCATTTAAACGAGTTAATTATTGATCTATTAAAGATTAAGCTATTTTGTATTCGTTATTTTTAATAGAAGCTTTTCTAACTGAACTCTTAAGTATTAATTTTTGAATTTAATAGTCTCAGCTTAAAAATAATAATATTCTTTAGATTGTATCAAATTTTGTTGTAAATTAATTTTAATTATTGTTATTATTCAACTAAATATAATAATTATTTGTTGTTGCAATTAATAAAGTTATGTAAAAATAAAGGTGGTGAATTTTTTGTTTTAATAATTTAAAGTGATGATTTAGTCGTTTGTTACAGATGGTGTTGCAGTTGTAGTGCAAAACGGAAGGAGGAACCTTAAAAAAAAAAACAAATAATTTTTGGGGAAATAATGCCGTTCTAAAGATTTGCGAGGCCCAAGGTAAAATAATTGTGATATAATATACATAAATTAAGCCTGAGTCTTAAGGCTTAGTCCTTGTTAGCCCTTTTTAAGGATCACCCTTTGAGAAAGATAACTTAAATTATTATTTGCCTCAAACGCCACAAATTGTCTACGACTATATGCAATAGTAATTTCGAATTAATTTTTTGTTAAAAATCTCGTTACATAAATATATATATATATTATTTTTAAAGATTATTAATTTATAGATTTGTATACTCAAAATAGTTGTACCATAAAAACTTGTTTTATAATATATAAGCTCTCTAATTGTACCAAGATATGGTAGATATAAGTAATGTAAATGGTTAGAGTACTGATTATGAAACCTAGATAATATTATTTCAATAAAATGATATAAAAATTACATCACTAAAGTAATAAAGTAAATGTTATCAGAATACCAATAATACGCTAAATAATAATTGAAAATTTAAAAAGATTATCTGATTTTTGGTCATCAAATTAAATTATGAAATATCATTGTTTTATTGTTTATCATTATCTTTTTTTAGTTAACTCTATATAAATATTCAATTAAAAGAAAAAATTCTAGATACGCGCTTGTTACATCCCTTTAATTACGTCATAATATTGATCGATAAACCTATTACATATCACCTTCATTTACTAAAGCTTTAGGAACTTTAATATTAATATCATTAAATAAAACTTTTTGTTAAATTTAATAATTCTGAAAAATTCCACATCGATAATTTTCAAATATTCACTCAATTTTTTTCAAAATGTCCATGCTCTATATTAATGAACATGTCGATGGTTAAACGCATACATGTATTAAGTACACTTTTAAGGAATGACATTCAAAGATCACATATGAAATTTTTAATAGAGTAAATATAACATCAGACCGTCGTGTGTAATGACGTCACAAGAGTATTTTTATGCCTTATTTATGTATATGAAAATACACAATTGAAATATTTATTTTAATATATATAACTCATTTTACACAAAATTTGTACTTAACACATGTGTGCGCGAAACCATCGATGTATACTATATATGTTCTATAATAAAAATCATGATATAATTTAGAATAGACATTGTATAGTTTATTGTAAATTCAAACCTACAAAACTAAATACTAGAAGTCAGTAGTGTATCCAGAGAAGTTGTACTAAAGCAATATTTAAGATGAAAAAGTCCCTAAAATATGTCACTCAAATTTTTTTTTTGTTTTAATTCCTGTTGAAAAATCCCGGTCTTGCCTCTGGTAGAGATATTTTTTTACGTTTACGAGTATACTTGTTAGGCATCATTAATTTAAAATTCATTAATTTAGGTTATTATCAAGTTATTGAACACAATCTCTTCTGCGTTTACTAAATTCTTTAAGAAACTAAATTTAATTTTTCATTCAAAAAAATGTTTATATCACAATCCATATGATCAACTGAATTCTTTGAACACACATTTTTTAACTTAAGAGGTTTAGCTTCCTCAACTTTATTCTTCGTATCGCCCGTCATAAAATTTATGAAATGGAATCATAATTTAAACTTAATTATTTTTAAATTTCTGATAACTGCTTTCTCTAGTCTCCTTCCTAGTATTTTACGTAATACCGAGTAGAATGACGTTTGCATTTAAATAACAATAAAATTGTTATTTAAATAAAATATGTGTAAAAAATATACTTATACCAGAAAAATTACGTAAGGTTTATGTAAATAAAGGTCTAACAGAAGAAGTGGAGTGGTGTTGGACGAATAACAATCACAGTAGGTGTACTATGACCACATTACAGTATAAAAATACTACCAACTATACACATAAATTCTATTACTATTACTACTAGGATTTATAGGTAGTGAGTTGTGCATTACTCTACGGATCATATTATGAAGCACTAATGTTTAAGCACTGAAACCGGTTGTGCTTTAGAGGGGACACGCGGCCTAAAATCTCGGCCGGACCTCATATTGTTGAGTGAAACGCAGATAGTGAACGTTTGCGTTTTATAATAATAATAAAATAATTTTTATGTAAATAATTTGATTAGTTGTGTGCTTAACGCTCGCCTGTAGGTGTTTACTGGTCGATTATTTTATCTTTTATTTTTATTAAAAATGATTGTCGGTTAATTAAAGGACAATTATCATAGCAATATAATTATGTAATGATCGTGTGACATCGTAACTGCAATATTATTATTGTTTTCAACTTTTTGTAACACTATATTTTAAAATATTTTGTTGATTAAATACATGCGTAATATATACTATTTAAGTTTTTAATTATAGTATTTTGAGTTAAAACAAGTATAATTAATAATTTGTCGACAAATATAACTATGCCTAAATATTATAAAAATGATCGTATTAAATAAACATTTTTTTGAGGAATAAGATAGTGGAGTTGAGTAAAGTAAGTTTATTTAACTATTAAAATTATGAATAGGTTGACATATCTTGATTACAGTTAATATTACTTAAAAGTTATACTTGATACTCAGATACTCTAATATATTGCTTATAGAGTAACTAGTATGGAGTTTTTTTCTATGGCATAACAAACAAAATTTTATCTTACAAAAATTAAGATAATATATTTTTTCAAGTGTTTTTAAAATGTTATAATTGAAGACTTCAAACGTATTAAAATTTCAATTCTTGCAGACAATTTTTCTTAAGACATAAATGTGTTGTTCTTTGACTGTTAACTTTAAATTGAACCTTCAAACTATATAAAAATAAAAGTAACTTAGAATATAACATATTACCCAAGTTAAGTGTTATTTGGATATCATAATTTTAATGTAGGCATTGCTGATGCAAGGAATGTATTATGTGTGCACTCATGAATTGTAGGACCATAAAAATTAAATTAATGATTAAAAAAAATGGTTCTTTTTTACTAAAAATATTTTTTACGAGTTTCCCAAAATTATTTCACATGAACCCCTATGGTTATTTGATCCTGACTGATGTGTTAAAATATAAATTTAATAGTATGTTCTCTGTGTAAAAAAAAACATTTAATTGAAATATGGATGAAAATTTTTTATTATACAGTGAAACTCCTTTTCAAAAGACTATTAGACAATAACCTCTTTTGAACGAAAAATATTTTTTTCTACAGCGTTCTGTTGAAAGGAGATTTCATTGTAATAAATTATCATTATTAGCTTTGATGCAAACCTGAGAAGGTAATTTACTATTATATGTTTATTTTTTTTGTATATCATAAACACTTAGTTCCTACTATTGGAAAATTTACTGTACTCAGCATACAAACTTTAGGTAAATCTGTATACCTAAAGTTCTGTGTTATCATTTTCAATTTAACACCCAATCCAAGTATAATTCCCCTATCAATATCTCCTACTTCTAACCTCCCACCTCTTAATAGTCTTTGTGATATCTATCATATTAAAAAAAAAAAAAATGAAATAATGCTCTTGTTACTCGTAAAATCATCATTATGTCAAATTATTTCTATTTGAATACTAACCATAACATATTTTTTTTTTATAATAAAAAACCCAAAAAATGAAAAAAATTTTAAATTGCCAATTTTTTTTCAATCAATTGCCAAAAAATTAATTTTGACCTTTTAAAAATTTACCATAACTTGCTGAGTGATAGGTCCCAATTATTTTGATTCTTTTTTTGAATGAAACACTTAAATATTTAAAGTATCTTAAAAATATAGAAGTATATCTGGAATTTATGTATGGACTGCATTTTTAACTTAGTTTGAATTGACCATTGATCTTAAGTTTTCTTTATTAGTACAATTAATTGTATTACCCAAAATTTTACTAAAACAATGTTTTTTCATGCACAATATTGATTAATGTGTTTTAAAAGATACTTATGATGATATATAATGAATGAACTACAAGGTTAATCAGTGTTGTGGTTTTGTAATATTTTTAATATTCATTTGAATATTGGACATTTCTTAAAAATAATACCTTATAATCAATTTTTAATTATTTACTTTTTTTAATGTTAAATTTTTATATTTTAGAATGAAGTGGATATCTTATTTCTTATTAATTCATCTCATAGGCGAAGCACTATCAGAACTAACATGTTTGAAAAGTGACATATGTTTTTGTCAGAAGAGAGTAGATGATGAAGAGATGGAAGTAATGTGTAACAACGCATTGTCATTAAAACTCACTTCAACAGAGTCATCGGTTTATATTCAGTGTACTGCAGATAATATTATATGGGATCAGGTTTTTAAGCAAATAGATATTACATCAATTTACTATAAAAATTGCCCTTTATTAAACATTGGCTTTAATAAAACCATTTCAAAATTGGGTATTCGAGATTATCAAGTTATAATATTATCTTACATAAAACTCAACAATAGTTTAGAAAGTGTTTATTTGTCAAATTTGCAGAATATTAAACATTTAGAAATTAGTAGCTCAATAATTACACTGACTAATAAATCTTTTGAAGGAACACCAAATTTAACAAAATTATTGTTACGTCAAAATTCTATAGAAAAATTACCAATAAATCTGTTTAAGCATTTAATTTCTTTAGAAATACTTGATCTAGGAGCCAATAAATTAACCTCTTTAGATGCTAGTCTCTTTGATGGTCTTCCATTAAAAAGTTTAAACTTGGATTCTAATCACTTGACTACTTTAAATTTACATGTTCCAAGTTTAAAACATTTAGATTTAAGTAATAATAATTTAACTATTATTGACATTAAAAATCTAAATAATCTTAAGGATCTTTCTTTGAACAAAAATTTTTTTACTAAATTGCATGATAGTCCATTCATTAATACTTCTATAGAAACTTTAAAGTATAATTATGGAAATTTATCACTTCCTGATAAATTTTTAACTAATTTAAACGGATTACAAAAGATACAGTTTAAATCATTAAATTTAGAATTTTTACCAGAAAATATGATTTGGGGATCAAGAAACATAACTGAGCTGTCATTTTCATCTAATCGCTTAAAAACTGTGCCAGTTTTATTTTTTCGGGATTCAGTAAATATCAAGGAATTAGATTTTTCTAAGAACCAAATTGAAGACATTAGTTTAGAATTATTAAGACCACTGGATAAGTTGGAGAAATTGGATTTATCTAAAAATAACCTTGTCCAATTAAAGTCTTTTTTAAAACATTCAACAAATTTAATGTATTTAAATTTAGAAAAAAATAAAATTTGGAGTATTGATTATGGAGCACTACGTTTATCAAAGTTAAAAGAACTGAAGTTATCAGATAATCAAATTATAAGTTTAAAGTCAGATTTTGAATTTTCTTTACAATATTTATCGCGTACTGAAGTTATAGATCTATCTCATAACAAAATTGAAAACATTGATCAAGGATGGATTAATCTTGTAAATTTAAAAAAAGTTAATTTTGCTTATAATAACATATCTATTCTAGGAATTGATGATCTCCAATATTTTGTTAATATTGAAAAAACAGATTTTAGATATAATCCATTACAGACAATTGATTTATCAGGCTTAGAAATGTTTGCCCATTCACAAACATGGATGAATAGTTCTGGAAAAATAATTTTATCAAGTAATGAATTAATTTGTGATTGTCATAATTATGAATTAAGTAGATTTTTACAAAATCAATTGCCAACCTATGTCTATAAATACCTTAGAATTGAACAAGAATTAATTTGTAAAAATGGAATGATTTTTAAAGACATTAATCTAAATAATTTAACATGTATATGGGACCAATTTGAAGACTTGGATAAAGTAGACTGTAGTTCAGAGTGTCGTTGTACTTATCGACCTTTTGACAATTCTGCAATAATGGACTGCTCTAGTAGTAATTTAACTTCTGCACCTAATAATATTATAACAAGCAAAAATTTGAACTTCACAGAACTTAACCTAAGAAATAATTTCATCACAGAATTGCCAGATTATTCCTATGCAAATATTGGCAAATTAGATGTAGGAAATAATAGCTTAAAGATTTTAAATATTACGAAACTTCCCAAAAAAATTATGGTAAGTAATTAATCAAATTTTTTTTAGTTAAGTCATAAGAAAATATATAATGTTTACACAATTCACTTACTCCTTTCAACATTCTTTCTAAAAATTGGCTGTGTTTTAATAATATCTTTTATCAGAATACTCTACCCTACCTAGCCATATTATTATTTTATGACTATTTCACTGTCAAAAATATAAATTTGTTTTATCATTAGTTTTTATTGTTGGAAAATGATAAAATAGTTAAATACTGAGTGAAATATGCAACTAATATTGTAAAAACATGATTTTATAATAATATGTTAATAATTAATGTGATATTTAAAAATAACTGCTGCATGAATAATACTGTCGAGTAACAAGTGAAAAGTCTTCTACATCAAAAATACCTGAACAAATTTACTGCCCAAACAATTTAATTCCATTAAAAAAACTATTTTAATGAATTTATCTTATTATTGTGGCTTTAAAGAATTTAAATAATGAAAGAAATCCGTTGAAAATTTGAAATTGAATTATTTCTTTCTTAATTGACAAAAATACCCAAAGATCCCCTTCATAATTTAAATTGTAAAATATAGGAGTATATTTTAGGAGTAGAGATAAAAATAGCAACTCTAAACTGTGGCTATAAATGATATCTTTATACTTATATAGTATTATAAAAGTTATTATTTTATTTTATAATCCAACTTCATTTGTGATTACTTCTTGTGTATATATATATATATATATATGGGGATTGTGTATAGAAATATATGTTTAGCGAGATTTTTCTATTGGTGGTGTCTAGTCTCTGGTACAAGCCGGCTATAAAATCCATCTCATCTACAATTGGCTAAGCTAAGAATCATCTTTAATACTTAATATTTAATAGAGGGCCACTGCCCTGTAGCATATTACGTTTAGAAAATAGAATGATGTAAAACTGATCATTATTATCATTTACATATGTATTTTTTTTTTTGTCTTTATAATTTTTTGATTACAGTTAAATTATTAAAATAATTTTCTTCTTTTATAGGAGTTAAATTTGGAAAATAATAAATTACAAACAATTGGAGATGCAGCTTCTCCAGATATATTTACTAATCTGATTCATCTTTCACTCAGTGGTAATTTATGGTTATGTAATTGTGAAACTAAAAACACTTTATACTTCATTCACAAATATTCATCAAAAGTATGTCAACAATTGCTTATAATATATATTATAGAAAATATTTCTTCATTAGTCATTAAAATAGGGTTCTGTGTAACCTATATGATGTTTTAATAAATTAAACAGTGTATATATTAGTGTTGAATGAGGTTTATTTCATAGATCAATGAAATAAAGAACAACACTTTCTTTAAAATAAATAATTTACATTTAACTAATACAATAATGTAATAAAAATAAATTTTCTTTAAACATATTGTACAGTTTGTGACATGCATAAAGATTATGTTAAAATATAGTAAAACACAAGTAACAAAAAATTGGTTTTGTAGCATAACAGAAAAATAAAAGCAAAGAAAATTGAGTAATTTATTAGATTAAAATATTGGAAACCAAACCACACAACCTATTCTAATAATTTAATATAGTTTTAATTTTAAATAATATTAGCCACAAGTGATCAATTTTTATTATATTATTTCTAATCTTTCATCTACTCATTTAATATATAACTAGAAACATGAACAAGAGAAATGGAAAATAATGGAAAGTATATTATACTATTATAATAATTATAATTATTATTATTTTAACAAATAGTTTATCTATTGAAAAACCATTTTAATTAACATACATTTTCTAAACAAAATCTGTTACAAAATATAAGAGTTTTGGAAACTAAAAATAATTATAATAGAAACTTTTAATGATCTTTATTGCTTTCTTAGTGTTCTGATCTGCCTATAAAATATTGAATAAAATAAGGCTACCTCAGGTTTGTCAATAACCAAGTGGATGTTATTATGTATATTTATTTAGATTTTAATTTATATTATATTAATTTCAATAATAATCAATAGCTTTATTTTTTTTTTCAGCTAACTGATTTTACAAATATTACTTGTTCATCGTCAATATTATTACAAGACTTATTGTTAGAAAATTTGTGTCAAGTTTCTACTGCTATTGTTGCTGTTTCTATGTGTATAGCTCTTTTTGGTTTAAGTATTGGATTTTTACTAGCTTTATACTATCGTTATAAAACTGAAATTAAAGTATGGTTATATGCTCACAATATAAGATGGCCTATGGCAGAAGACTCTATTGACCGTAATAAAACATATGATGCTTTTATCAGTTATTCTCATAAAGATGAAGATTTTGTGTCAAAACAATTGGTTCCTGGTTTAGAAGGAGGTACGAAACCTTTCAAATTATGTTTACACAATAGAGATTGGGTTGTTGGAGATTGGATCCCTGCTCAAATAGCACGATCAGTTGATGAATCACGAAGAACTATTATTGTATTATCTCAAAATTTTTTGGATAGTATTTGGGGACGAATGGAATTTCGAACAGCACATTCAAGTGCTTTAAAAGAACGTCGTAGTCGTGTTATTGTAATTCTTTATGGAGAAGTATCAGTAGAAGCATTGGATCCCGAATTGAAAGCATACTTATCAATGAATACATATGTGAAATGGGGAGATTATTTATTTTGGGAAAAATTAAAATATGCCCTACCACATAGATTTATTGAACGAAAGAAACTTAAAAATAAAATAATAGTACCTGATAAATTAAATCCTTTAAGTTTGATTTAAATGTAAACTAAATTTTTTTTTTTTTAATTTATATAATTTTGATAATTTTATTAATTTGGCAAAATAGTAATTTATGTTATTTAGACTCTTTCTTCTTGAGGATGATACATTTTTTTGATAATTGATTGAATTTTAGTCTATATATAATTTTTATTGTCATAATAATGTACAATATCGAGTATAAAAATTTAATCTTGACAAAGAAACTTGAGGTCAGTCATCTATTGGATAAATTCTATATGGGCTGCTTTTGATTAAAATTCACATAATTAATACAAAAATAAAATATTTGTTATATAGTTATAATAATTTTAATCATAATATAAAAAACATCTAATAATTTGGCTACTCTTTTCTTTATTAAGTCTCTCTAGATATACACATTGACATATAACTAATAATATAATGGACATTCGAAATTATTTTGTATTTTAATTTGTATGTTTAAGTAACTTTACGTAAAAAAATTGTAAGTTTATTTTTTTAATTGATTATTTCTATAAAACAAGCATTTATGACTTATATATACAGGGTATTTATGTATTATTTTTAAAGAAATTGGTTTATTTAAAAATAATTATTATAATCAAAATAATTTTATTATTAAAACTTGAACTAAATAAAATAATTTTTTATTGAAATGTTATTAATATTCTACCCTATTACATTTCATAAAGAATATTATTTTTATTTATTTGTATATATATGTGTATATATTAATTATGAGTGTTTGTAACCTTATTCATATGATTTGATCTCCAATGTCATTTTTTTTTTAAACAATGTCTTTTTTTAATTGTATGTTTAATATTTGTTTAAGTTTATTTTAAAATTATATATATTTTTACATGTATTTATGTACCATTATATATATTATACTATTTTTATTTTTACATTTAATAGTAAATTATATTTATTAATTGTTAAAATGATAATTTGATAATGTTTCAATATTTAACTTACGGGGTTAACATTTATTAAAATATTGATGTTACCAGAAATTTGTTAAATTATAGATGAAATTTTATAAGTAGTNAAAATATTGATGTTACCAGAAATTTGTTAAATTATAGATGAAATTTTATAAGTAGTTATATTAATTATGATTACAAACATATACTGTTAGTATATATTTAGCGTCAATGATAAAAACGTTCCCAACATGTTTACCCCCCATTTTTTGGGACTTTTTGAGTTATTTAGTTAAGAATATTTTTTATATAACTTTAATTTTAAATAATTAGCCACAAATGATCAATTTTTATTATATATTTATATAAGCACGTCATTGCAATCCATACTTTAATTAGGATTATGTATATCTATTGTATCTAAGTATAAATAATCGGTTATTAATAATTAATTGAACATGGAATTGTATGCAATTAAAATTTTTGTTTGGGTTACTTTCAAGATATACATGCTCATGCTAATGTAGATGTTGCTAGTATATACTAAAACGAAAAAAAAAATTTTTGTTTTGTGAGGAATTTAGTTTTTAACTACATTAATAAAAATTTATACTAACTGTTGATGTTTTCAAAGAACAACAAAATTTATAAATATATACAATTCAGTGCTCTATTACTAGGTTTGTGAAATTAATATATAAAATTCAACAAAAATAATAATAAATATGAAATTAAAACCTTTAATAACAAAGCCATTGTTAAGGCTTTTTTGATATATTATCTCACTTATCAACATTTTTTAAAATTATAATTTCCAAACATTTAGTCTCATTATATAGAAAATTAATGAACTTGATTAAAATATATGAACAAAATTGTCCTAATTATTAAAAGAATACTTTTTTTTTACATAAATTTCTTATAAAATCTTAAATAATAAATTGTAAAAAAAGTAAATGAAGTTAATCTATATACAAAGCTCAACATTTTCTAATCAAAATAAGAAAATAAATTAATTAAATAAAACTTAAAAAATATATATTAAACGTCAACAATGTAAAAAAAAAAAATTATAATAATTGAGATGATTACTGTTTATTAAATTTGTTCGACCTATTTTTATTACTTAATGGACATCTACTAATTGTATGAGCTTTTGCTCCAGTTGCTTTGCATTGTGGACACGTGTAAATAGACAAAAAAGGGCATTTTACATTTCCCGATTCATCTTTTACAAAATGTGTTCTATATACAGATTCTTCTTCACCATTATTTTTACAAAAAGCACAATGTTGATTATTTGGTAAAAACGGAGCATCAGGTAATTTGATTGAAACTTTTTTTGAAGGAGGAATTCTATTAGATTTGATTAATTCTTCTTTTTTAGGTTCTTCAGTTACATGGGTTTTTGTAATTTTTTTTACCTTAGGAGGTTTAGGATGTTTTATAACTTCAGCATATGATATCATTTTTTCATCAGTTAAATCAGACCTGGAACCATCTGAACTAATGCTTCCAAATTTAGTATCATCTTCATTTTCAATTATATTAATTTTATTGTTATTATTTTCTTCAAAAAACTTACTATAATCATTATTGTTATTAGATAAAACTGTTTTAACAGATACTTCAAAATTTAAAGGTGAACTAGGTGGTAAAAGTGTTTCATTAGAATTTGAATTAGGTACTAGAATAGTGACTAGTTTATTAGGAAATTTTAATTTTAATGTTTGATTAATTGGTTTTTCTTTTTGAGTATTGTAATATGGTATTGATGTAATTATTGGTTGTATGACTGGGCGTTTACTCCATGCAATGGCATTATCATTAACTGATGACTGATCATGGAGTTGGCCAAAATCAAACCAACGAGATTCTGTTAAGAAAAAAAAATTTTAATTAAAGATTACATATAAATAGATTTTAATTGATTCCACATACTTTCTATCACATTTTTAATAATATATTTATATATTAAATATATAAAAATTAAATTGGATTATTAAAAAAAAATCATCATTTATTATTACAACTAATAGCTGAAGTTTCATACAATAAGTAAAAATGGACCAATACATAATTCAGAAATGTTTATTTTTTGAAAATTTTAAGAGACATGAAAATAAATTTGTTTATGTTAAAATATTGGCAATATTTTATAATCCTAAGACGAGTTCTTTATTATTTTATCTCTAGTGACATCAGATAATTAAGTAAAATATACATATATTCTGGTTTTCATACATTCATATATTTATTTGAATGTAATAATTAATATTTTATAATTTATTTTATATAAATTGACCAAAATTGATATTAATGAAAATTTAACAATTTTTGTATAAGAAATGATTAATATTCACTAGAAGTAATATAATAAAAGTTTGACTATTTTACAGTTAAATGTACTAATTTAATTTATGAAATATAATTAAATAAGGAGATTTTGCAAATAGTAAGTTTTTCTACTCTATAAATTAAAAATCACTAAAAATATTATGAAAATTCTTTCATTTTGTACTAAGCAATTTAAAAACTATTTTTTATATAGTCTTTTTTATTTTTATGCCGTTTTGTAGTCATGGTAAAAGATTAGCTTCATAGTACTTTGCTGTCACCTCCTTTAAATTTGTCTAACTTCAGCCTTGAATTCCTTATTGTAACAAAAGTGCTGTTCACCTAAATGAAATTTAAGCTATGGGAATAAATATAAATGACTTGGAACAAGATCTGGAGAGTATGACGAATGATGAATTAAGTTCTAAACGTTGTCAGGTAATTTAGCAAATCATGCTCTGCCTTTCTCTTTCTCTTTATATAATGGTACCATATATCGACCTCTATAACTGTATGGTCACAAATTTCATACCCTTTCACCTGATGCACTTCAAACAATGTTTAAAGAACTACATGATTTTTTCTATAGTCAAAAGTTAACTATCTTGAAATTCAGCATGCACATACTTTGGTAATTTCCAAATTTTCTTTTAAAATATTTAACACCAATTTATTTCAATGTAAGGAGGTAGTTTATGCATCATATTGTCAAAGGTAAGATACCCATTTTGCTTTATGATGTCCAAAATGCACAGTACTTGTTCACACCATTTCCATATAATTTAAATTCTCATTACACTACATTAAGACTATTTTTCAGTGTATTTCCGTAGGACTTTTATCTTTTGCTAGTAAAAATTGGCACACAACTGGTGGCATAAAAAAATAATTGCTTTTAATGTCTAGGTGTTTAGCAATGGTCTAAATAATCTATTCAGGCTAACCACTATATTTAGACCAACGTTTCCTCAAGATTTAAAGATCCACTGAATAACAACCCTCTAGATTTGACAATTTAATACTAATATAACTTTAACTTAATATTAGTACAATCCTATTAATTTCAATCAATTTTATAATCTAGTCTTTATTAAAAAAACATAAGTGTCAAAAATCTTGAAACCTAGCACTTGAGAAGCAATTTCCCTTTGTCTATTTTTATTGGTATTTATGGTTTAAAAAGCTAAAAGTAGAATGTTAGCGTTGTGATCTATCTATAAAAATTTAATTTAAAATTATTTTTTAATATTAGTAACATTTAATAAATTATGTAGTAAAAAAATATGCATTGCTTTAAATATATTGTCCCCTCATACAAAGTGTTTTTTAGTTTTGAAAAAAATGAGTTATAGTGTTTTATGTAAATTTAAAAAACTAGAATAATTCAAAATATAGAAAATTTTTTCCATCCAATCTATTAAATTGGTTAAGTTTTATTTTATAAATTCAAACATTTTAAAACAGTCAAAATTATTTATTAAGTAACTTAATAAATTATTGATTTTGTCAATCCATTATTTAAATCATACATTAAAGATGACTTTATAAAGAAACTATGCATATTAACTCACTTGGTCATTTTTTTATATTTAAATAATTTTAGAATGAGGACAATGATAATTCATAAGGAAATACATAAAACCAAATCAGATATAACTGAAAAAATTATAACAAATATTATGTTAACATATTTATATTTCTTTTTAGAAATTATACTTAACAAAATAAGACAAAAACAATAATATACTCAACTAGCCTAGTTAATACTACTTTGTTAATATTAAATGTCATTATATACGTTAACTAGGTTTAAATAAATTTTCAAACGAATAGTTTTCACGAAATTTTTATACTTACGATAATATTTAAAATGAATTTCTGCAATACTCATTATGTCATCATAAAATGATGAACTCATACACATGTTTGGGAATCTCTTTGAATAGTAATACACCATCTTGCGAGGTGAACCTCCGATGTGTTCAAAATTGTTTTTTGAAATCTTATTGAGGAATCGATGGGGTAATTTCTGCAAAAATGCAGCAGTTTGATCGTACATTTTGTATTGACAATATCCATCGTTAATAGTAATTCCATCAGGGAGTATCATCATGCATATCTATATGATAAAACTTTTATTTGACATTATAATTAAAGGTAACTCGTAATAAACAGGAAAATGATAAAAAATTTTAAGTATAAACATCAATCGGTGGGTTATAACTCAGACACCAAAGAAAACATTATGGTACATGATATACAGGTCATGGTTTCACGTGAGTGTTATTATTATTATATTTTATAAACGTGTGCGTGTTTACTATATTGTTTGACGTGTGCTATTTTTGGTGGATGGTAAAAGCGGGAATTCCGTATATGTTATCAACAAATACAGTAGGCACACTATCGTCATGGAGGATAACTTAAAATTATCATATTTTTCTAGCCCTATTGATATAGTCAACAACATTATCATTTTCGTTTGGAATGTAAAGAATTTTAGAGTTGTATATAGTGGAGCCTAGCCAACATATCATTTATTAAATACTTAAATAATTGCATGGAATATTGTTCATTATTAATTTAGTATGAATGATGAATAAATATAGTTAATTAATATTATATATTACTTACCTGCAATTCTTATTTATTTAGCAACGAAAATTTGAATTTTGTAAGTTTTTGCTAGATGAGTTGAAATTTATTGTTTCTCAAACGTATTATTTTACGCCTAATTTTTAGTGATCAATGCGATCTTCAGTTAGTGCTATATTATCATCACCAATACAAGACCCTAATATGTCACACCCAGACTATGAGATGACTGTGTATGATCATGCTACACTACTAATTTTGGTGAAACATCTGGGTAAACAATTAATAAGTCGCAACTGTATTTATCTTTGTGTTTATATAGTATATGTGTGCTTTGTTTTTTTAAGGTGAAGAATTATCATCAAAAAGTTTTAACCGCTTATTTGAACGAATTTGTCGTGTTAATCAACTGCGTATTGTAGATGGTAATGGTATAGAACGTTGTGTTCAAGCTAGGTATATCAAAGATTATCCAGTTGGAAATAATGATTGGGGCGATTTCCAAACACATAGACGTCTTTTGGGTCTTATTACTCTATGTTAGTAATTTTATGCTTAAAATTTATGAATTGAGTATAATTTTTAATTTCAACTATATTTTTTAATAGCCAAGTGCAAACTTCAAGTAGAATTAAATGAAACATGTCGACTGCATGAGAGTTTAAAAGTTAAATATCAATCAACATTGTATGATTCCCGATGTATAGTTTTTGGGGTGAATGCACCAAATTCTCCAGAGTTTAATACTCCATCTAATTTTAAGTCTCAAGATATATATTATTCAAGTGATAGTGATCCTAATCCTTCAATTGAAATGCATTTAAATGAATTCCTATCTTCTCTTTTTTGGGTTTTGGACGCAAAAAGATTGGAAAAGTCCAAAGAAAAGGTATATGTACTATTTAATATTTTCTAATTCTTCTTGTTGAAGACTATAAACCCTCATAATATTTTAATGAAAACATCGGTTAAGTAAAATTGCAATATATGTGGTATCTTAACAAAATATAACATTTGGTATTAATTTAGCCAAGGTAGGTAAACGAATTTATGAGATTAGTTACCTAACATTTATTTTGTTCTTATTTCATCTTTCACTAAGCTCATTTATAATTTGAAAACATTTTATTTTTAGCAGCAAAGTTTTAACTAAGTAGTTTAATTTAAAAAAGAAAAACGTAAAATAGTAAAAATTATGATTTTAGATTAATATCTTTGTTGATTGATATTAAGTTTGTTANGAAAAACGTAAAATAGTAAAAATTATGATTTTAGATTAATATCTTTGTTGAAAGGCACAATTCATTTGTGGAGCTAGTATCCCTTGAATAATAGTTTCTATTATCACCTCAAAAAGTTATATGATTTTATACTTCTATTATTTCTGAGTAGTGATGGCTATAACATTTAAAAAAATAATCTTATTTTCTTGATTACTGTATAACTCTTATAATTTTATAAAATCGATTTTTAATTTAAATTTAAGTGTATAATTTGAGTTTCCTAATGTTTTTATGTATAGCTAGATAAAGCTTCACTCTTGATTGCCCCATTTGAGAAACGAAATATAATTGGTCTAGACATGGAATCAAGAGCAAATAAGAAACGTTGCATAGGACGTGTTACAAAGCAGTTGGCTGATTTAAATCTGCAAACGGGTTTGTTGAATGATGCCTTAAATTTTTACATGACAGCTGCAGAAACATTACGATCTTGCAATGATTGGCTTTGGCTTGGAGGTAAATTTTGTTTTATTTTAGTAATTATAATATACAACCTAATCATGTGTCAAAGACAAAAGTAATATCTATTGTCACTTTAAGTTTATTAAAAATAAATTTTGTTAAACATGCAAAATAAAATAAAAAAACACAAGTGGTCTCAGAGAAAAAATCATTAAGATTAGAAATTAATGAAATCACTTGGTGTTTCTTTATAATAAGTATGTCAAATTATTTAGTATTTAGATTAATTAATATAAAAAATTCTAAAGCTTCATAATAGTATTTTCACTTAAAAAAAAAAAAAAACGTAAAAGTTATTAGCTTCAATGTGAAGCTGAAAAAGTATTTTACTGTGATGTTTAAAAAAAAAATTTGAACTTAAATTGTCTTCATGGTAAAAAAAATATTGAGCTTTCTGATAAATTTACTGTAAATATTAATTATAAAATTTCTTGACTGCATATTAATTTTAACAATACAATTTTTTTAATTCTCATTAAATTTTCTATTTAATGATGATAATTTCAAACTTGCATATTGAGCTGAAAGTTATGGTAACAAATTCAACTTTTTTTTACTATTCATTTTCATAAAAAACAACTTTAAAGGATACATTGTACTTTTAAATTAAAGAACTATTAATTGGACTATAATTAAGGAAATAGAAGTTTATGTTGCTTTTGTAATAATCTATCAATTTCTTAAAATTAAAAACAATATGCAAATTTGCATCAAAGTATTTCTTATGATAGTCATTGTCAGATATCATCTACATTTGTCCCTATCATGCCACATCTATTCTATGCTACGACCCCACTATACTATAGTTTTTTTTACTCAAAACTAGTGTATGAAATTTTTTTTTATATAAAGGTTGTTTGGAAGGATTATGTGCAACTTCATTAATAATTTTACAACCACAAAACCAACTTGCTAAGTCAACTTTACAACGAAATGCTTCTCTTCAAGAACGTCATTTGAGATTTAAGTATGAAGAATATTTAAATTATAACTGATTTATTTTTAAATATCCGCTAGTATACTTCGATTTTTTAAAGATTTCGACCTTTGTCAACTAGCTCAGGATTTGCATCATTGGATGATAGTACTATAAAATCTACTATTCCTCAAAACATTTTAAGTATTGATGAAATTTATAAAAGTTACAGTGAAGCCCTTATTCATTATAGCAAAGCAAGTGTTTATATACCTGTGTATTCTAAATCAATATATAATTTGTGATAAAATCAGCATTTTCATAACTAAATTAAAATTTATTTTCAGTACTTGAATGCTGGTGTTGTACTCACAGAAGGAAGTTTTAAAGCGGCTAGAATAGCTGTAGTTCACCACCATTGTGTTTATGTTCATTATTTTCTTCAAAATGTATTGCCAATAAACTTAACTTTAACTGAAGAAGAAAAAGTAGTATTATTAATTAAATTTAAATTTAAATTTATTTAAATTATGATTATTTTAGATACAAAGATTAATGAAATTAGCTGAACTTTATGCAGAAATTGGATTTCATCGTAAAGCATCATTTTTTCATTGGCTTGCATCAAAACGCTATGTTTCAGCTAGTAATCCAAATACTTCTTGGGAACAATGCTATCAATTGTTACTGCAAATGTTGCCTGGTCACAAATTATCTTTAGACCCCAATGATTATGAACCTGGTGGACTAATAGGTTGGCCTGAACTTCAGCGCCAGGTGGTGAATGAAATTGTATTAGCTGCTAAACGAGTTGGAAATGCTAGCTTAGCTACGAGGCATTGTACATTTTTGCTTCAAACAATGTGGTGGATGATGAATAAAGTTGAAAGAAGTGGTTATGCTAATCAATTGGCTGTACTCTCAGCACAGTGTGAAGGATCTCCTGTTCCATTAGTTTTAGATAATGGATTGGTCATACCACCTGCAAATTTATTAAATATACCTCAACCTGAGTAATTAAATACATTTATTTAAAAATTAAGTGTCTAATTGATCAAATGTTTAATAAAATATGTCAATTTACTATTTAGAAAATTTTCCCTTCAAAATTTAAAAGCCCATTTAAGACCACATAAATTAGTTAAAGTTAAAGAAGATTTTGGCCCATTTTTATTTACACCTTTAAAATTTGCATCTATGGAAAAAAATAACAAAAAAACTAATAAATTGGATTGTGTTTGGGTTATTGATGAGCCTTGTGAAGTGGTACTTGAACTTAGTAATCCTTTAAACTTTGAATTAGAAGTTACAAATATAGTAAGTGTATTTTTTAATCTAATGATATTATATTACATTTGTTCTTATATATCATTCTTTATAAGCTATAAGTAATTTAGTACTTTTAGGATTTCTAAAAATATGCATTTTAAAATGTTGTAAGATTTGGTTATTTAAATGGCAATTAACTAACTTGCATGGAAAAACAATTCAATTTTCAACAAAAAATGTTTTTTTTTAAAAAGAAATGAATTTTCAACTTTTTAGCTAGTTAAAAAGTGATAATATTTTTTTTTTAAATACACAATCAATATTATCACATTTTTCTAAAAAATCTATTTTACATTATACATAGTAAAATGAAAAATGTATATGATTTTGTTTTTGTAGAATTACTAAGAACCACAGTTATCTACATAAGTTGGTGTAAAGAGTGTTACCACATTTCAAGCGGAGTTTGTATATAACTAAAACTCTAATTGTAAATGGAGCTATTTTAAAATACCAATAATGAAGAGAAATTAATTAATTATGAATTAAAAAGATTTTCACAAAAATATTGATCAGAACATTAGTTATTTCAATTTTTAATTTGGGGAACTTAATATAAATTCTCTTTCTACAAGCTTCATCAATTACTTAGTAATCTAACATGGATATAACCATACGTTAAGCCCTCCTAATTTGAAATTTAATTTTTATTGTTATAAAAATAATATAATATATAAGGCCTTTTGGTAAATTAACTTAATTTTTCTAACCTTCTTGAAAATTTTACAAAGTAAAAATGCTATACATTGTAGATATTAAGAAAAAATGATTAACCAGTATATAGTCCATAAATTTAATCAAATATAGATACAAAAAAATATTATCCCATTATAGTTACTAATTTATATATATATATATGTAATTTAGTTAATATTACAGTAAAACTATATTCATTTATATTACTTATTATGGATCATTGAATTCATTGTGTATTTTATTTTCAGATGTATAGTATAAGTTTTACATATTTAATAAAAATATTAGGACTTACATAATAATCAAATTGTTATTTGAGAAACAACAATAAATAAAGAAATATTAATTATAGAATAATTATTTTACAAAATAAAGTTATAAAGTCTAATAAGAGCAATAAAAAGTAATAAATACAATTTCAAATATTAATTTTCAAAATTTTATTAATAGATATAAATATTTTTAACTTAAATATACAAATACTCTAAAAAAATTAAATTAAACAACGAGAAAATATCATATAACTTTAACTTATGTATATGAAGAGTGAATGTGTCAAACGTTCTATGTGCTAAAAAAGTGAAAAATTGTTTTATTTCTGATTTATGTTCTATGTGCCAAAGGCCACAATCTTGTATGTGTTTCAAATGTCAATTAAATTTTTTACTTGTACAAAATTGCATTCATAGATGGTGTTCGTTGTGTGAGACATGCCCATGTTACCATTGTTTTTTGTGTTTTCTGAACAAATATGTTTTTGGCACATAGAACGTTTGACACATTCACTCTTCATATATTTTTTTTTTTTGAAATTATAATATTCCTACTATTATTTATTTAATTTCATAGATAATTTCAAAATAATTAGAAAGTGTATGTCTCCCATATCTTTTATGTGTTATGTCAATCTACTTACAACTAGCACTTTTAGTTCACGATAAACACCATTTTAACGCAACTAAAGCATTGACTTTCAATCTGAGTAGATAACTGTGCTAAGAACTAATGTTTCATCTACAAAATTTTTAGAATGTGTTAGAAGAATTATCTGTTACTTAAAAAACTATTTAAAATATACTTTTTCAATAATGTCATTTCTAAACAAAATTATACATTTGTGTTATACAGATGATAATTTTTATTTCAATTCCTTTATTTAGTTGCTTTTGACAAATGGTGCAGTTTTTGAAAGTATTCCTTATTCTGTAAACTTACCACCAGAATGTAACTCTCAGAGCATAATTTTAACTGGTGTTCCTAAAGAACTTGGTGAAATAGAAATAAATGGTTATTCAACTCATACTTTAGGCGTAAAGTCTAATTGTCGTCTTAAAAACATATCTAATGTACCTGTCTCAACATATAATATCCAAGTTATTCCATCAATGCCTCAAATGGAAGCAACAATTTTAAGTATGAATGGAGAAAATATATCTTCAATTACAATATTTGCTGGTGAAAGGTAACAAATAAAAGTATTTATTATAATTTAAGTATCTAAAACAACTAAACTGATTTGGAAGGAATATAAGTGACATTAAAAATAATTTAGTCTTTATGTGTAATTAAAATGTTTCAATTCAATTAAAACTAAAATCTCACTTGGTGAGCACACTTAAGAATTCTTATAAAAAAATTAAATATCTTATTAATATTAAATTTATTTTATTGTAATGTGTTTCTTTTTTATAGTATTGACTACAATCTTAAATTAACAAATATTGGATTGATACCAATTGAGTTCTTGGAAATATCAATAGAATCTACTATTGATCCCCAGTTAAAACATAGTATAATCCAAATAGATACTGAAGAAATTTTTTCTAATTTACCATTTAAATCAAAATCGGAAATGTTACTTAAAGTACAATTAAATGGTGCTTTAAATTTCTTATCCAGCAGTCAATTTTCATTAGCAACAGGTAATAGTATGTTTAATTTTTAACTATACTTTATATTTTAATTAATCACTCATTGAGTAACAACTTAAAAATTAATAATAATATTAATTGAATCTTTGATTATTTAATAATATGGTGAAATATATTATTTAAGTTATTCTTATCAATAAAGTCCTAAAATTTATTCAATTTTTATATGCATTGTATTTATAATATAGAATGGTTTAATAATAATTATATTTTCTTAAAGAGAAAGATTCTTTCATGGTACCCTCTTTTAATTTACCAAATTTGATGATATGATTTCATGATTTCTTATTATGACCGACTATTATTTCAAAAATAGTATTTCAATTGGCTTAATATTTTCATTGGATTTCATTTCATTTTCATTAGTTGAAATTAAATAAAAAATAATATTATAAGATAGCAGTTATTAGATGACAGAAATATTAAATATTTGATTTGATTACATATTGGATTTATTTTAAAAACATAAAGATTTTATAATTGCAGAATTTAATAGTTTAAAAAGTAGTTCAACAACATCTGGGCCATGCTCTTATCCTTCATTACCTAGCCTTAGACAAAAAAATGATCGGTTTTCACCAATGACCGCATCTTCATTTCGGTAAGTTATAGCTATATTCATATTAACAGAATCATCAGAAGAGCATACTACTATGATATTAACTTAAGATTTTAGAGTTTTTTTAAATTATTTGATAAATAATATAAATATAATAAACCTATTAATATTTATCTAATTTTTACAGGTCTGGAGAAAGCAGCTTAAATTCCAACTGCTCTAGGTATAGAAGCCCAACTGAAACATCATCCTTAAAAGTAATAAAATATTAATTTTGAATTTAATAATAAATTTAAATTTAAATCTAAGTCTAAGTCTAATTTATTATATTACACTTATTTAATTTAAATATTTTCAAATTAATTAAGTTACTACAATAAAAGACAAATTGCAAAATATGTTCTAAATTCACAAAATCTAATTTGATAAATCAATTAGTTGAATTTAAATCAAAATATTTTGGAATGTGGGCAATCAAATACAATAGTTTATTAATAAATTCTATTTTTACTGAAGATGATTGAGTTCAACATTAAAGTTAAATATGCAGGAGGAGGAGGAATGATAGCAGGATATTGTAGAATTCACTCTTGTATCTTATCAGTAAATATTCTTAATTCTGTTCTAGTTACTAGCTGGGATGTTTTACAAGCTGAAATGTGAGTAAATATTAAATTATAATGTTTATTAGTATCCTTTTTACCTTTACATACTTCGATGTTTTAGCGGAAGTCAATTTTATTTAGTGTTAGATATTGTTAATGTTACATGTCAAGAAATGGAACTTATATATGCAACAAATAAAAGTATTTTAATGGAAGAGAAAGAATCTTATCGCATACCAATACCAGTAGATAGATTTTTAATTCACAGTTTAGAAGAAGTTAGTAGTGAAATAAAAAATTAAATAAAAGAAAAAAAATTCAAACTATTATATGGAAATTTAGATTTCTAAAAGTGAAGAAGGACATATTGATATAATTGCAAAATGTAACAAGCATATTGCTGAACAAGTTTCATTGAAATGGTCAGTTACACTTTGTGATGATTTACCTTCTCGATGGGGTCTGGTAAAGTTGCATGGTCTTACACTTTGTCCTCAAATGTTGGATATTGTATGTACATCGCCAATTTATTGGGGTAAATTAACTCAAAAAATATAAATAAAAATTTATTATTGTTATTTTTTGTAAATGTAAATGAACTTATATAATGTTAATGTATTAATATATATCTTTAGAAATTAATTTAAATAAAGAAAAAATAGTCAGTGAATGCAATGAAAAAATTTCACCAGAATCATCACAATATAATGTTGGTCAATTGTTACATTTACAAATTTGGGTACATAATTCATTAAATTCTTCATTAGACGAAGTTACATTAGAATTAAATTTTTATCAAGACTATCTAAATGGTTCCATAAATAATCAACTTGGCAGTAGATTAGCTACAACTGGCTGTAATAAAATGTACAAATCAAAAGTTAGTGATTAAGTTTAAATCAAAGTTAAAGTGAAATATGTGTTATTTTTAATACTTAATATATAATTATATTGAAGTAATATTTTTAAAATTTTAGGTGAAAAAGCATGAGAGCTTATATCATGAATGTGGTGTAGTGTTTTTTTATCCAGGCTTGTATAAATTAAATTTGCAATGTCAAACATTTAAACAACATATTTGGAAATTAATACCTCCATTACAACTAGATATATCTGCATAATAATGAATAAAAGTAAATATTGAACTTATATTATGTTAAATACTGGTTCGCTCAGCTTTAACATGATTGCATCTTGTAGACTGCCAGTGTATAGTTCGGCAAAGTGTTAAGGTAGAGTAGGTCTCAAATAGTTGAAATAAAAATTAAATTCTTACTCAACTTTTTAGAATCCTTAATAATATAATATAAATTAATTTTTTTCATACAGAGTTACTGAGTTGGGCAACAACTAGTAGTGCAAATATTAAATTTTTAAGGTTTTTTTTTTTTTTTTTTGATAACTTATTATTTAGGTATCTTTTTAAAAAAAAACGGACATTCATTAGAATTAGGAGAATTTTCTATATACTGCCCATGTTATATATATATAGGGATCGGTGCATCTAGCAACTACCCTTATAATATTGAGTATAATAATAAATTGAATTTTATAATTTTAAAATAACAAATTGAACTTTCCCCCATTCTTTAAAATATTTTATACAATAAAAACATTATTTTATAATTTTTTGAAGGAGTTAATTTGTTAACACAAATCAATCTTTAAATCTAAAAACATTAAGCAAATGTTTACAATAAGATATACTTCTAACAAATTTTTTCTTGTCAAAAACAAATATTTTTTATTTTGTGTTAAATTTTCTTATAAGTTTTTGAAATAATAGTTTTAATATTATACTTATAATTTTTAAATTTACAGTAAGTCTCAAGTATAAATTTTTCTATAAAATTTTGTTTTTGCTAGGATGTAAACAATTTTTTTATAAAATTATTTAAATTTAAAAATTTCATAATAATTTTACTCTAGATTTTCTAAAATGGTTAACTCAAAGAAAAATACAATTTGATATTATTCATTTTGATTATGGAAATAAATAAAGAAGATCTAAATGATGTTTATTAGCTGATTAATGGATGTAAGTAAAATCATAATTCAAATATTTCATAATGTCAAAAGGATGAAAAAATACTCCATACAAGTCAAATTATCATATTTCTAATGACTGGTTAATAAAACTATTGTGAAAGTAGCTTAAAATTACTTGAAAAATATCAAAAAACAATTTAATAAAGTAATTATAATTAGTAAGTTATATTCCTAGGATGTATATAAATATACCTATGATAAATTTATTTTCAAAACATTTTGTTTTAATAGTAAAATTATGGAAACTTGAATTTTTTACATTATGTCATTTATTATATTATATTTGTGTTTTCGTGTATTTATTTGTTTTATAATTTATTATTACTAAAATGTTATGTTATTATGAAATTATAAAATATATTATAATTTTAATAAATATAATGTGTTATTCCATATTTTTATTAAATTATATTATGAATACCAGGAGCATTATTTTTATAGATTAATAATGACATATACATTTGTTTTAGTTTATAGCAAATTTGAGGAGGTATTAATTTTTACAGCTTTTAATGTCAATAATAATAATAATAAGTATATTATAAACAAGAGGACTGTACTTTCAAAAAAAATGTTCTTGCTACCAGTAGTTTATAATAAATTTTAATTTCATAACTGAAATAATAATTAACTAATGAAGGTTAGAATAAAATAAAAAATTTTATTTCCATTTATTTTTCTGCGAGACCTATTAGAATATATATAGGCATCTATTGGAATAACATTTTTAAGGATGCTAATTGTATTTTCTTTGCCCTAAAAACACTACATAATTGTACGAATTATTTTATAATTTTTTGCAGAACTAATTCGTTAACTAAGGGGGTAAGCTACTTCTTATTGCGCCTATGGCAAATCTTGCAAAAATGGGCAGTTCCTTGGCTTAGGACCCCGTCACCTCTCATCAATGCTGAGTCTGTTGAGCAGACAGTTAAGTAAATATTTAAAAAAATATTTTGCATTCCTTTCCACCGCGTATGAAATAGTTTTGCGGATACCTCGATCCCTAAATTAATTAAGGTAGCAAACCACAAAGTCACAATTGTTCAGCTCAAATTTTATGATTTTTTATTCAACGTCATATATCAAAATATGAAGTTTTTAAATTATGACAGTTATAAAATTGCCTTAATAGTGTGTAAATTATATGTAATAAAGTTAAATATAGCAAAACCGTTATATCTATAATTCAATATTTAGCCGATCAATATCAATTTTAATTTTTAATATTCAAAGTCGCTATCTTAATATCTAATTTTTTAAGATATTATATTAAAAAAAAACTTAAATTTTTATATTTTAATGTTTTCTTAAGTCATTGGCCTCCTAGTACGCGCCTAAAAATAAATAATATATGTATTCTTTAATACATTTATTAAAGTATTTTATAATTATAAAACTTTTTTTGGTCTTAGCCCCACTATAAAAATATTCCGAATACACTACTGACTTTGTATCAATAGTAATGATTTTATATTGTAATATTTATTTTATATTTTAAAAATTATTTATTATCATATAATAAAAAATTATCTTTTAGATTTTTAATAAATTTTTCATTAATATAAACAACTCTGGTTATCGTTTTATCATGATCATTTTATGTCTATATATTTTATACTACAACAAAAACATTTCATTAGCACTTACGTATATAAATCGTGTAAGTGTTTAACATCATAAAGTTGTTGTGTTAAGTAAAATGCTCGTTTTACTTGGTGAAAGTAAATAAAATTCCCTAAGCAGTTGTTATAAACTACCTAAATAGTACGTAATAAAATATCATTTATTTCTTCTTCCTCGCCTTAATCCCAACTACTTGGGGTCGGCCACCCTTATCCTAAACTTCCACTTAACACGATCTCCCACGTCAGCTGTCTCATATCGCATTCAATAGCATCCCTCCATCTTTTTTTTGGTCTTCCTCTACCTCTACTACCTTCAACATTCATTTCTATAATTGGTCTTGCAGCTTCCGATTCTTCTCTCCTCACAACATGACCAAACCATCTAAGTCTATTTTGTCTCATCTTATCCACGATTGACGCTACACCTATACTCCTTCTTATATGCTCGTTCCTTATTCTATTTTTTCTAGTCACTCCACAAATCCATCTAAGCATTCTCATCTCTGCTCTACTTTCTTATCAACCGCCCAACACTCTGAACCATACAATATAGCTGGCCTCGTTACAGTCTTGTAGAATTTACGTTTCAGCCTCATTGGAATTCTTTTACCGCATAAGACGCCAGACACTTCTCACCACTTTAACCTATTTTAATAAAATATCATTTATATAGATATTTAAACATAAATATGCAAAGTAGTTAACGCGCGAAAAACTAGAAGGGATACTATAGCTCCTAAAAAATGAGGAGTGTTCCCAAACCATACTGTTTTGTCTCCCCTCAAAGGCTAAACATTATATTGATCATAATAAGAAAATATACTTACTTAGTAAAAAAAATTATCTCATTAAAAATCAATTAGAAATAAATATTATACAGAACACCACAGTCGGTATCAAAACTTCAATTTATTATGAAAATAAATGCAAAACAGACTTTTTAAGTATTAAATATTATACTATAATTAAAAGAAGCTGCGAAAAAAATATTAACAGTAACCAATTTTGGCAGATATCTACATATAAATATATGAAATGGCAAGTATAGAAATATAATTTATAAAGTATTTAAAAAACTAAAAATATTTTAACAACCGTGGTACGTTTCTATTAATATAACAAATGTTTATATCACCTTACATTTCATAAACCTTAAAATAATAAGTCTTAGTTCCATGTATAATCATAAATTAATTACATGGTATTTTAAGCTTACATTAAATAATTAATTAATTAAATTTTTGAATGATCCAAAAACAAACAAATAACAACAACAGGCAATATAGGCAACTGCCTACAGCGGTATATTTTAAGGGGCGGCAAATATTGAAGGCCAACAAATTTACAAAAAGCGAGTTATTATTTTATTGTTGTTAAGACATATTGACTTCCAAATAATTATCATAATCGTTTTCATTTATTATATTTATTTATGGTATGTATGTTAATTGCTACAAGCAATTTATTTTATGATTTATTAATAAACATAGATTTGCTTGAAAAATATTTTTAAATACTTTTTTTTTTTTAGGAAGAGTTAGTAGTATTATGACGAAAATATATAAAAATGATTCCCCTCCGTCTTAACGTAATGAAGGACATCAAATTTTTAAATGCCTATAGGCGTAAAATATGTGAATATGTCCCTGGGAACGTTAGATTGTACTTCAAATAAAAAGGGAGACTACTCCTTCCCCGTTAACTTCTGATTATTATTATAAAAATTAGTAAACTATATAACTATGCAGCCTATTTGTTATTATAGCGATGCATAATAAGGAGTGATAATGTTTTAATAAATTTTTAGAGAATTTAATTTGTTCTCGTCGAGTACATAGAAAATTTTACTTAGCTCCTCAAATGATATCACGTTGTATCATAGACATTATTATGTCTAAATATTATATGTATATTAGATATTACGCCTATGCACTTCGTCGTCAATCAAAAAAATGATAATTACATTTCGTTCACCGATGGTTTTGATATCCGTGTTTTTACATGGTCATTGCTTTTTCCTGATAAATAAAATAATATTTCATTATGCTAAATTTTTTAATGGACTTATTTAACATTATAGTTGGTAATTCTTTTTAATCAACATTTAAAACTTAAAAGATAAAATGGTATGTATTAACTCGAAAATATTTTAATATATATTATTAGTAGACATTTTATCTTCTATATAAGTAAGATATTAATATTTGCTCACTGTGATAATTGAGATAGCGTCACGATTTCTTTAATTTTCAAAAATCATTATTGTCAAAATTAGATATTATTCTTATTATTTATTATTATTACTTAATAATTATTACAAAATTGTATAGATTAAAATTTTAATTTAACGTAATCTATAGAATTTTGAATAATAAAATGATTACTCGGATGATGATGTGATCACGTCAGTTTTTATGCGCGCCATTAAAATTCGAGACTTAGTCATGGGCGGCTCCGTTTACTGAACAAAAATCAGTACAGCGATTTTAGTGGCCATTCCACTCCGGCGACACTAACCATTCATTCTGTAGTATAAAGATTAAGAAATATTCCCTTTTAAGAGGAGGCCTCAATAGCCATTAATGGGCCATTGAAAGAGTGGCACGTCTACATACTAACGTTTTTGAATTCATTAAAAATGATCGACAATTTTCTTCAATTCAATTTTAACCTTTATTTAAAATCAGTGGCAGTTATATGGACAGAACGAAAAAGATTCGTACTCCTTTAAACTATTTATATTTAGTTAAAAATAATTCTTGATTTACGTCTTAATCCATTTTAGACAAGGATAATATTAATTATGTTATTTTATCATTACTAGTCGTTTTTAAATAGTTCAAATAGTTCTATCGAGCAGCTTTTGCCATACAAAAAAACTCCAGATTCAATACATTTTAGTTTGCCAGATAACTTCATTCCAGGATCTATAGCTTTTGCGAACTTTCCCATCCGGCCTAATACTCGAAAAGTATGTATAAATGTATAATTTTTTTTTTTCAATTTTTATTTATTTTGTAGTTAAATAGTAAACGTGAGTTTTTGTTAGGTGTTGGAAATTTTATATTATTATTTTTTTTTTAAAAAGGCGCTAGAGATTGTAATGTTTTCTCCTCCCGTAAGTTTGCTTAATACCGTATTACTGAACACGTTCCGTACGAGTAATAAAGTGACAGTGATTATTATCAGAAAAAAAACTTCGTTTGATTAATAATCGACCTATCTTAAAAATTTCATTAATTCGATCTACATCGAAGTTGATTTATAAGAAATAATAGTTCTTAGAACATGCTTGTAACATTTAATTATTATTATTATTTTAAGCTTTTTATTTTTCTATTAAGGTTAAATCAATTGGGAAAAGAATTTCAAATGTGAGCTGGAATCATGACGAGGCAAAAAGAATTTACGCAAAAAAAACTATGAACCTATATCACTGGACACAACCTGGGTTGCCGACTGAATTTGTTCGAAAACTTATATCAGACAGCTGGGATAACATGACCGAGGAAGAGAAGCAAGTTTATGTCAAACAAGTGAGATGAATAATGATAGATTATAATGTTTTACGATTTTTCGATAATATATTTACATTGATTAATTATTTACTATAAATTTAGTCTCCTAAATTATTTGTTGTAATTTAGCTAGAGAACCTCTCTTAAAAGTATTATTGTTTCATTTGTTTATGTAAAATGTTTATATATTTTTTAGCTTCGATGCGAAGCTGAGAAGGTATTGGTTTTACTAAGATGTGTTTTTTTTTTTTTGTGTCTGTTACCACTTTTTCTCAGCTCTCACCGAACCGATTTCTTTCAATGATACGTCAAAAGATCACAAATCGTATCTAGTCGAAGACATTACCCTCAAAAGTTGAAAAAAATTTTCTCGTTGCCCGTAAATGGGGGAAACCTCCAAAAAAATTACAAATTTAAAATTCGCTGATTTTCGAAATTTTTTCAACTTTTTTTACTTAAAATTGCTATAACTTTTTTAAAAATAACCAAATCAATATAATTCTTTTTTAAATAGATGCATGATATCATTACCTTTCATTTGGTATATTTTTTTTTTATATGTGACCCTTTACTTGCCCACAGGGGGGGATTTAAAATGACAACTTTTTTACAGAAAATTAATTTTTTCAACTTGATTTTTGAAAATGTTCCGAAAGGTCTGACACTTTTATATATATCTTAAATTAAAGCTAATGTAATATACTTTATAATGGTAAAAAAAAATTTCGGACTTTATTTTATCTTCACGGTGAAAATGGCTACCAAATGCTATTTTTGTGTGAAAATTTTCGATTTTGTATTTTACATATTTAATTTTATTATGCTATAACTATTTANTTTTACATTTTTTACTTTAAAATGCTATAACTTTTTAAAAAATGTATGGATCAATACAATTTTTTCATGAGAAGTAGTATTTATATACATCTTTTATTCGACATACTGTTTTTTTAAATCAGATCATTTCCCTATATTTGAGGTGGATTCAAATCTAAAAAATGCATATAGAAAGTAGAACTTTTTCAACGTAACTTTTGAAAGTGTTCCGGAAGGTCTGACACTTTTATATATATCTTAAATTAAAGCTAATGTAATATACTTTATAATGGTAAAAAAAAATTTCGGACTTTATTTTATCTTCATGGTGAAAACAGACATTAAACTTAATAAAAAAAATACGATTTTTGTAAAAAAATTCTTTTTTATATTTTTAATTTTATAATGCTATAACTTTTTGAAAGATGTAAGATGCATGATGTCTTTACCTATCATTTGGTATATCTTTTTTTCATATCTGACCCTTTACCTGCCCACGGGGGGGATTTAAAATGACAACTTTTTCACAAAAAATTTACTTTTTCAACTTAAATTTTGAAAGTGTTCCGGAAAGTCTGACACTTTTATATATATCTTAAATTAAAGTTAATGTAATATACTTTATTATGGTAAAAAAAAATTTCGGACTTTATTTTATCTTCATGGTGAAAACAGACATCGAACTTAATAAAAAAAATACGATTTTTGTAAAAAAATTCTTTTTTATATTTTTAATTTTATAATGCTATAACTTTTTGAAAGATGTATGATGCATGATGTCTTTACCTATCATTTGGTATATCTTTTTTTCATATCTGACCCTTTACCTGCCCACGGGGGAGATTTAAAATGACAACTTTTTCACAAAAAATTTACTTTTTCAACTTAAATTTTGAAAGTGTTCCGGAAAGTCTGACACTTTTATATATATCTTAAATTAAAGTTAATGTAATATACTTTATTATGGTAAAAAAAAATTTCGGATTTTATTTTATCTTCATGGTGAAAACAGACATCGAACTTAATAAAAAAAATACGATTTATGTAAAAAAATTCTTTTTTATATTTTTAACTTTATAATGCTATAACTTTTTGAAAGATGTATGGATCAATATAATTCTTTTTTTTGTAGATGCATGATGTCTTTACCTATCATTT